CCCCACCCAAACCCGCCCCCTTTCAACACAAAAACCTATTAAAACACAACACCCCAATATAATTTTAACAAACCTTTTTTTTAATAATTTTTTTTTTTTTTTTGTTTTATTTTTTTTTTTTTTTTTTTTTTTTTTTTTTTTTTTTTTTTTTGATTGGACGTGATACTTGGCAAGGCGTATACGAATAGGTTATTGGAAGGTAATAAGATGATATTATAGTATAGATATGTCGAAAGCGCGTCATCACGCAAAGCAGCTTCAGCGCCATGATTATAATTCAACTCTTCCAGTTAAGTTCAGGCGAGAGAAGCCCAGTTTGGCCCCAGTCCCTAGAAGTCGTAACAGCTGCCTTAACGAGATGCAGCCCATAGTCCAAGTAAGCAGTTTCTGCCGGTCCTGGTAGGCTTCGCATCCTGCCGAGCACCTTTATTAAATCATCACATAGCATGAACTGCGAATTCGAAAATGCCATAGACCGATTCGTAGGGTCCAACAAAACGGCTATGCAAATACTCATCAATCTCGTCGCGAGGTTGATCCTCGTCTAACTGATCAGATGGCAGCTTTCCTTGGCGTATGCGGGCTGTAAAACGATCACTGCCCTTGTAGATAGGTAGGTACCTAGGTAGAGTTTATCTGTCTTCCTTTATAGGAGACAGATGCCCAGTCCTAATCAAACCCGGGATTTGGAGACCTCTCGTCTGCGGAATGCTTTCACCTACCTACCTACCTATCTACCTAGCCTGCTAGATACCGGCTAATAACTTAACCTTTAACGTATAACTTACCTACCCGTAAACTTTGGACCCTGACTCTTGTTAGTTACCTACCTATGTCTCGTCTTCTCGTTAGGAACGTGTTGTTTCGTCAGGTTAAGTCGTATGTAGGAGGACGGGCTTTGTTCTCAAAATGTGTCAAGGGCAAACACCCCTCTTCAGGTCCCGTGCCCCTCATACGTGTATCTTCAATACTACTACGAAGCCCCAAAGTCTCCATCTCACACTCGATCAGCGAGCGAGCATTCAGTACGGATAGGAGAGCGTGTAAGTCGATTAAGAGTACCTAAGTCTGGCGTGATTCAATTCGCTAATCTTCGACCTTAGTGGCGGACGACATCCCTCCGAGGCCTTCGAGATCTCTTGCGGGGAAGGTTGCCATCGTGACGGGAGCGGGTTGCGAAGAAGACGGCCTCGGTAATGGTCGCGCCATCTCCATCCTGCTCGCTGAGGATGGCGCTTCTGTGGTGTGCGCCGACGTACACCTCTCGTGGGCTGAATATACCAGCGCGTTGATAGAAGAAGAGGGAAAGGGGAAAGCCGTTAGCTGCCAAGGGGACGTGACCAAACCTGCCGATTGCCAGAGCATCGTGGATGCCGCACTGTCTACCTTTGGGCGGGTCGACATACTAGTCAACAATGTGGGCATCATGGGCGCCAGAGGAACAGCTACGAACTTCGACTTGGATCAGTGGCGTCGCGGCCTAGACGTAAATATCACGAGTATGGCCAACATGGTGAAGTTTGCCGTACCTGGGATGCTTCAGAAAACCGAGGCTCTAGGCGAAACCCGAGGAAGTATCATCAATATAGGATCCGTCGCGGGTCTAGTAGGGGGCACTCCCCATCTGCTATATCCGACTACCAAGGGCGCGGTTGTAAACATGACGCGAGCTATGGCAGCGCATCACGGGTCGGATGGGATTCGCGTGAATTGCGTATGCCCAGGTAAGTGAGCCGCAGCGAGAGCATGCCCGAAGTTATCTTGACCTCCGTCCGTTAAATCGTATCAGGCTATCTCTATACGCCCATGATGTACGCAAAAGGCATGAGTGCACAGACCAGAGAAGAACGGAGAAAAAGAAGTCTCTTGAAAACCGAAGGGAACGCGTGGGACTGCGCGACGGCTGTGAGGTTTTTAGCTAGCGACCAAGCTCGTTGGGTCACTGGAAGCGTTATCACGGTAGACGCCGGAACCACCGCCGTGTCGGCCATCGAACACGTGTGAAGATGTACGCGGCGGCTCACGATGGCCAGCCCAGTGAATGGCTGCTATGCGAGGTACCTAGTAAGGTCTATTGATGCGGATTCACTCTGAGACTTAATCGCTTGTTTGCCTGCTTGTTCTGTCGATGTACTACACATAAGAGTGGCTATCTACCTTTCATTTCACTCTGGACTCATGCTAAATGGTGACATGGGTTAATAATCACCTGGGCACATGATAGTTTTTGTAACATAATGCTGTAGCGGACCCGTCGACAGCATCATGGGCCTCAGTACATCACGAATCAAACCCCAGTGCTGCTCTCTCGCAACACAATTGAGGGCCTCCCGATGCGATAGCTTCGAGGACATCGCGGGAGATGTCTGGTAATCAGACTAGAAACGATGGGAGTCAAGTGTCTCAACATACCGTCTCCTCTCCCGACGATATGCGGCGCGTATTCGATGTAGCCCTTGGAATGTAAAAAAGGGCCGCCGCCTAGCCACGGCAACGTTGATTGTCTACTGTAACCTTACGTAAATGATCTGAAACCTAATCGGTATAGCTGGAGGGCTGGTAGTCAGTGAAAAGCTTGGTGTTTCGGGCGTGCACGCCAACTAGGTTGGTGCTTCTTATCCGTAAGTGAATAATCCACCGGGATTCATGAGGAACCCGAGTCTGGCCTTCTTCGACGCCTCTGCTCCTATAGGGGGTTATGTGGGTGGCTTTATCGCCGGAGAATTCATCGAACGTGCATCCTTGATGTGGATGTTGGTGTTCATGTAAGTTGCCTTGTCACGGTCTTGGACTATTGCTAATGCCTTCGTACAGTGCCGCTGTCAGCTTGGTGGTCACGGTGGCCTTATGGGCTCTTCTTCCACGAGAAGTCTCTGTTGATCATGGCGAGAAGCTAGACTGGATTTGATCATTCTTCTCCCTAACAGCCTTGATCGTGTTTAATATCGTGTGGAAGTAAGTGGGCTGGCGAGTTTCCAGCTGTGGGTTGGGCGAACCCTTTAGTCATAACGACGCTTGTTGTTTCTGTTGATCTCTTTATCGGTCATTGCTCTTGTAAGGCTCGTGAACGACAATCGTGAAGGTTGGGAGGATCCTGCATATGCAGACCCAGCCGACGATGTTGTAATACAAGTAGCAACAGGAGCAGAGTTACGGGAACCACCATCGCAGTTGAAGCAGCGCTAAACCGATGCCTGATCCCAGGAGCCTAAGGGTTTGTTAAGAACTTCGGCATTCAGCAGGCTGTGGAAGTAAGAAATGCGACTTGGTAGGAAATATATCTCCTTAAGTGGAAGAAGGCTACAGGGCAACCCCCCTGACATGCCCCAATATGATTAATCGAGAAAGAGAGAGAGAGGGAGAAAAAAAAAAGGACAGAGGTGACTTGGATTGAACAAACCCTCTTAGATAGCGAGATGTTACCCCTTAGCCTTCTCACAACTGAAAGAGATACTCATTAGATTGTCTACTGTCAGGCATATAACCCGAATTATCCTAGACGCTACCCCTTAATGCATCTCCCGCCTGAGTTCGAGCGCCCTTGCTAGACGAGTTGCGTGCAAGAAGAGTCGAATTGATATGTATAAATGGGAAGGTCAATTATGTAGGATCCAAAGTGTCTATGTACAAGTCAAATTGGCGGCTCGTAGATACAAACTTCATAATCTCCTTTCTACTCTGTCCTCCACGATATATTGAACAGGGCCATTACCCACTACGAAGATTAAAGAATTGAAGTTTAGTGGAACGGGCAGCGCTTCTCAGCACGCTTCTCGAAAGGAGCCTCGGAACGCTTAGCAAAAGGCTTGGTGAATGACTCAGGGAGATGCTGGAGAGAGTAGATCTCGCCCATCATGGTAGTCAGCTCATCTTCCGTCAAAGCCGACTTCATCTTCTTGAAACCTAGCTCGTAGGGCAGACGTTCGTTTTCTGTGATTGCTTGTGTCAGTTCTTAAGCCAAACCCATCGCGTAGGATTCATCGCCTTACCAAATAAGTACTCCACGAAGGCCTTAGGGACTGTGCGAGTCTCCTTGGATCCCAGAATGGTGACGTAGGCAACCGTCTCGCCGAGACCAAAGCCTCTACCTAGTTGAGACATGGAGAACTCGGGGTTCGTAAGGTTCGAGGTCATGAGACGGGCCGTAAGGGCGTTGGCCGCCATCTGGAAATTGATGATGTCTCCGGTCCAGTAGGCCTTGGTCTCGTTGAACACGGCCGCGTTGAAAACGTCCGGAGGACCGAAATAAGCATCCTGACGACTATGAAACTTAGCATCAACGAACCGCTTGTGGAGCGTGAGGGTTTAAGTTGTGAGCTGGAGACCAACCTCAAACTAGCATCATGCTCTAAGACGTTGTGACGGCTGAGGTGATTCAAGCTGAACCACGTCGCATTGGGCTGGGGATTCGTAGTAACCGCGAAAGTATGTAAATCCCGACTGAGCTCGTCATCGAGGTTCAGCGCAGAGCTTAAGGCATTCACCGTCGTGTTCACGTCGATATTCTTCCCGTCGTGAGGTAGGAACCCGTGGTTTGCCAGGGTGTTAAGCATAGGGCAAGGACCACGCACTTCGTGTCATTAGCATGCGGCCCAACGCTTGACATTTATACCTAATCTTTCGGGTCTTGGTGGATAGATAGCTTACCGTCGTCTGGCCCGGGGGCTTTCCACGGGGCCGTGGAGGCGATTGCGGAGCCAAAGGCTGCAACGGAGGACAGGTACACGAGCTTCATCTTGCTATAGTTGATATGCTTGATACAGTCGATGTTGAACAAATTCGACTTGTGAGTGAGACTTGGTCGTGGAGATGTAGTGCATTCTTGGTCGTACCAGCTCCTTTAAATATCTTTGGCAAGTTCGTACAACGAGCCGGAGATAATCCAATATTCCGAACATGGCGGATACCATTCACGAGCGGTAACCTGCCGCGTCACCATCGCAGGCAGTGTATTCAGAGAGCAGGAATGTATTCCGTTCATACGGCGTATTCTTGCTGACATGCTGTACCTACATGCAGTAGGTCGATACCATGAAACTCAAATTTCCTTTGGATGTATGTGGCGGTAAGTTTCTTCTGCAGATCCTGGTAAGCCCTAGTTTCCTGGGTTGACCTTGGGAGCGAAGGTCGCGGGCTCGATCGTGGAGCGAACTGTCGATCCTGCGGCGAAGCATCCACAGCGAATAAGAAGCGGATATATGATTCCATTATAATTTGGCCAAGAACGGCTTCTCGAAACATTCCTTGAAGCTTATAGCGAATGAACGATGAGTAATTATAAACACGGAGTCACCATTCACGCAACGCTTACCAAAAGCTGTACCGCTGCGTATGTGGGAACCAAGGATATGCCGAACCCAGGGCTGCCAGGGATAGTTTATTCCGTTCGTCGGGTGCAGGCATTGATCCGAGAACCGAAGAGATCCGGTGATCCTGCATCTCACAGCCCGGCAGCCCCGGACAGCTCATATTATTGTGGAAATGCGGCTGAACCCTAGCTGCTTCCGGTGCTAAGATCGGCATCATCTTGCATTATAACCTGGCGACCCGCTTGTTTATCTTGCTTAAATCCTTAACCCGCAGGTATTTAAATTCAGATGGGAACCTGAGAAACTGCCTTATGGAAACCTCCCAAGGGACGCCTACGTCCGCTCGATACCGCCGAGATCTCTCTCGCCGGGATAGTCGAGAGGCTCGTGCGGGACGGCCCATTTGTTAGTCGTGACAGACCAATGAAATGCGCGACGAAAGGAGATCACCGTTGCATTCAAGAGGGTGGCTGTGTAACGGAGTAATGGAGTTGCGATTATTCGTCCGCTCGACTATGGGGATACCTAAAGCATGAGTTAGACCGGGTTGTCAGCTTAATTCTAGACTCCCGGATAGGCCAATTAGAAGTTTAGCAATACGAAGAGCTCGTGCCACGTCACCGGCGGTAGCAGTATAATGTAGGTATACCGCGAATATGCCTGGTATCAAGTCTCAAGTTGGATATCCAAGTTTACCAATGATGAGAGGTATGCCAGTGTCTCCTATTTCAGCTTCGGGATAGTAAAATTCTATAGACTGACAGGTATTGACAGGTATCTAACCAATACAACTACTCTAGAGCTCGGAGTTTACGATTCTGTTTCCTTTCCTGGTTACCAGCTACGATATCCCGTTCAACAATCGTACGGTCAGCCTAGGAGACTACATAGATTAGGTTCGTTCAATCATAGTTTCGATAACTCCTACGTTACCACGCTTGCCTTCGTTGTATTACAGCTATAGGTAGTTCCATATGCCGGTTAGCCGGCCCGTCCTTAGTCGTTGGGGTGACTGTCAAGACAGGTTACAACACCAGGTTAAGTTCAAGACGAGGTAGTATCATAGGGGCAAGCCGGAAAGCGAAGATTTATTGAACTGTGTTGAATAGTCTGTTGGTATAATGTCAGGCATCTATATTAAGCCTGAGGCAAATATCTCAGACTCACTCCTTTTTATTCATTTCTACTTCGCCTTTTGAGTCTCTTCTGTTCATATTAGTTAGTTCCTGTCGTAAACAATAGGTAAAACAAAGAACTCTTTGAAACATGCGAATTCCGCTAGGTATCATTGCGCTCGTGGAATTCTCTCCATCAGTGTCGAGGAAATATCCTTCTACAGCATCAACAACCAATTAATGTGTACCTTTGGTAAATATCTATCGTGAAGGTTAACTGGAAGCTACCTAAAGGGATAGATAATAATTCCGAGGGCATATCCGAAACAACTTTCCTAATAGGGCATCCTAAAGAAATAGACGGTGAGGCTTAGACGACACGTAATTTATCTAGGAGGTAAGTAAAGCTGCTGCCTAGATTAGTATGCATATTCTATAATATCGTGGATCTTAGCGAGGTTGTGGAATAGCTATTATGTGACAGCAACCCAACTACTGCACGTCATGGCCGGCTGCATCGGGGATCAGCCTGATATCGATGGTTATAAGCATCGTCGGGCGCAAATTACTAATAAGCTTGCAGCAGCCTCAGTATCTGATTGCAGGTATATACATACGAGCTGTTGCTAAAATATTTTATATAACACAGACTGCCTAATGACCTTGTCTTGATTCATCTCAGGCACAGGTAGGTTAAGCAGAGGTAGTTGTATGCTTCACAGGATCAGATCAAGTTCCTTGTGGAAGCAACCAATTCATTCCCATGACTTCGGTCCTACCTCGTGACAAACTGATTATGGCAGTTCCGTAGTCTAACTTGAATTTCAAGGTGAATCAGAGATCTTCTTGCAACGAAGGAGTTGCGCCAACTGTCCATCCCAGGACTGTAGCTAAGATTCCTGACTTTGACAGTCGTAGGTAACAGATTTCAAAGCGAATCGGAGGTACAATGTCAAGAACTCCATCTAACTATACCTCTCAAGCAATGAGTAATTCTATACTCAGCAATTACTTCTGATTCACCATACTTGACGAAGGCTATGGGGGAGCATAACATTTTCTCTACTCACTGTCAGGAGTCTCGCTTGAGACTTCTTGGGACTCCTTGGGACTCCTTGGGAACAGGAATTGTTTTATATATATAGGAGGTAGACTTGGCTTCGAAGCTATCGTAGTTGGAGTTCCTCGCCGGACAACGAAGTCGTTTCCTTACCTCACGCTCTGCGACAGGGCACTTATCCTAACTTCCAGGTTAGCGAGCCTGAGCCTTCGCGATCTTTTCCGTACGGGCCATACATTGCCTCCTTTCAGACACTCCCCGGTCCTAGCAATCCTGGCAGCACCTGGTCAAGTCGATTTATCAGGTAAACCCCTTAAAATATGCCGAGCTCGGATTACTACGGAGCCGGAGGTGGCGAGAACTTACCCCCGTTCAACGTACGCAGGCACGCGGGACAATCATCAAGGGCCAATTCCGGGCAGAAGTTGACACCACTGCAATCAGATAATCCAGCCGGAAAGGGCCCCAAACCGCAACCTCTGGAACCCCCTACAATGGGTTATGTAGATCCATCACGACGCATCAGTAAGCCACAGGCCTGTGGACAAGGAAACGCTCCACCTCGCTACAGATAGGCAACCCGTCCCCTTATTCTTTACCTGTTTGCCTCTTAAGATGCAGTCTCGGGCTATCCGAGCTCTTAATATAAAAATTTGATAACGTACAAGTATGGTGAACCGTTTATGAATCAGTATAAGTCCTAGGATACCTTCACGATGCTGTTCCGATTATATTGGACCGGGGAAACTAAGGCCCATCTCATAATCGTTAAAGAAGATGGATAGGTATGTGCCTATCAACCACTCTCCGTGGAGGCATCGTAGCTCGGCCTTGGCCACTTAAGAATGAGCCTAAACAAGACCTGTGTGATGGAGTGTGTATTGTCTATGTAAGAAATATATATATATCTACCTACCTACCTCCTATAGGTATATAGATAGGCACCTTGTGTATATTTTACACTCATCACTCGAGAAGGATCATGGGAGCTACACGGCCAAGAGTCGGGTAACTTATAAAAGGTAGGTTAGGTACCTCATATACGGATCCGTACCCCAATTGCCTAGGTAGTACGGTGTTGCTTCATTGTACCTAGGTCAATACCAGGTACCTAGGAGGTATGTATGTACATTGCCCTATAATGGTGCTAGTACGTAGGTACCTAGCTATTTGGAGAAGGTGGGGTATAATTTGGGGAAGTTCGCCGTTCGCCGGCGATATCGCTGCTGATATCGCTGCTGACCCTCTTTTATCCAATTTTTGTCGTCACTTGCTCATGCGAACACAGCTGCTTACCTTCCCATAGACCAGGCGCAGACCTAGGTCCATAGGAATGCATTATGTGTTCCGACGCATCAGCCTATACCCTTTCTCTCCACGCATAAGAAAGAGCGCACCTTGCATTTCCCGCCGCACAATGGCTACCTCACAAGCCGGTAGAACGTACAACGTACCTAGAAACCCACAATCCCAAGCTCCGAGACCGTGGCGATGAAGACGAAGATAAAGATGAAGATGAGGCTAACAGCTAGATATCCCCTCAGGACGCCATCGATGCCCTCAACTCCCTTCAGACCCCTTATGCCATCGTCGAGGCCCGTCGCAAGGCTGGCATCCGTCCCGATGCCGCCTCTGTTGCGGAAATGCACGAGTATCTGCGCCGCATCGGCTACACCTCCTCCGATCTCGACCGTCTGAACGTCTTGCACGTCGCGGGAACTAAGGGTAAAGGGAGCACGTGCGCGTTTGCAGCGTCTATCCTTCTACACTACCAACGCGCACACGCGATACCTTGCAAGATTGGTCTGTTCACGAGTCCGCATTTAATCGCCGTGCGAGAGCGGATTAGAATCAACGACGTCCCTGTTAGCGAGGACGTCTTCGCCCGTTACTTCTTCCAGGTTTGGGATAAGCTCGGAGAAGCCGAAGAACGCGAGGGGCAGACGATAATAGACCAGAGGCTCGATATTCCCATGCCTACGAGGCCGGTCTACTCTCGTTATTTAACCCTGATGAGCTATCACCTATTCCTCCAGGAAGGCGTCGACGTTGCCGTATACGAAACGGGTATTGGCGGCGAGTTCGACGCCACGAACGTCGTACCGCACCCTCTGGCGTCTGGCATAAGTACGCTCGGTATAGATCACGTCTTCGCGCTCGGAGACACGATAGAAAAGATCGCCTGGCATAAGGCCGGCATTATGAAGACCGGCAGTGCTGCTTTTACGATCGAGCAAGTACCCGAGGCCACCGAAGTACTACAGAAAAGAGCCGAAGAAAAAGGAGTGACGTTGAAAGTGCTAGATATCGACCCTAGGCTGAAGGGTGTGAACGTCCGGCCGGACGCGCTGTTCCAAAAGAAGAACGCCAGCTTGGGGATCGCCCTCGCAGAAGCGGCATTACAAAAAATCGACCCTAACTTCGCGCCAGATCCGTCGGCGCTAAGTAGAGAATTCGTCGACGGCCTTGAAAAGGTTGTGTGGAGAGGAAGATGCGAAGTCAAGGCTGAAGGGCCAATCCTCTGGCATGTCGACGGAGCGCATACCGTAGACAGTCTGAAGATGGCGACGAGATGGTTCGCAGGCGAGTGCGCAAAGCGGACCGGCCCGAAAGTCTTGGTGTTCAACCAGCAAGGCCGCGACGAGGCTATCCACTTTCTCGAGGGCATAATCTCCGCCCTCCAAGCTCAAGGCCAAGGGACGTTCGAGCACGTCGTCTTCTGCACAAACGTAACGTACGCCAGCACCGGCTATAAGCGGGACTTTGTGAACCACCAGCACGACCCCGTTGCCATCAAAGCCCTCACCGCGCAACGCGCCTTCGCGGAGAAGTGGTCTTCGCTAGATCCGGCTGCAAAAGTCGCCGTAGTACCGACGATCGAAGATGCGATCAACTACGTACGAGACCTCAGCAAGGCGCCCCTGGGCGAAGGTGAGACGATACAGGCTTTTATTACGGGTAGCTTGCACCTCGTCGGCGGGGCTTTGGGCATATTAGAAGGCGCCGACGCCTTGTGACCGGCAATGGTTAGTTTTCCATCGATGGGTTTGTTGGTATTATAAAATGGATCTGCGTTCAACGAGAGGCGACTATATATACCCTGGGCATATAGATCAGGACCTACGGCGGCTCAACCCGTATAGAGTAGAATTAAATAAAGGCTTCATTCATGCTTATTGTTGAAAATATGGCTGTCGCGGCGCCTATAACACGGTCTTGTGACCTATAATCTATCGCTCCCGAACGCTAACCTTGTATCTCATCGTAGCTTAAGCTACCCTATTTATTTTTGTATTTTTTTGTATTTTTTTCATCGTATCCATGTCACCGGGACTAGTTTTACCTGGTACCTACCTACCAGCTACCTACCTACCTAGACGAGGCTTTCATAATTCCGCATCGGGCTCCAATATCCTAAGTAGAGCACCTACGAGATGAAAACTGCCCGTGGCTAGAACCACGACTTTACCACCATCTCGACGTTGCGCAGCTTGGATCTTCTCGACTGCTTCGTCGACGCTACCTACGACGGCAGTCTCCGTCCGGGGCGATAGCTCCCGCATAGCGTCCGCGGCGGCCTGCTGGACAGCCAAATCTCGTTCGGGTTCGTCGGCCGTCTTCCGCCGCACGTCGTTTCGGGCAAAGATGGCGTAGTCGAAGAAATTGCCCTGGGCGGCTCCCAACTCCCTCTCGATACCGCCGTGAAGACTTTCCAGAAGCTTCGCCACGTCGCGCTCCTGCTGGTTGAACAGCAGGACTACTTTCGCGTCGCCCGCCGAGGCTTTGCGCTTCCCCGCAAACCACTTGGCGGCTACTTGCAGGCTTTCGGCGGTGTGCGCCCCGTCGACGAGCCAGGTGAAATCGCCGTAGTGCCTCGTCTCAGAACGTCCTTGCAGCTTGGCTTGTCGCAACCCGTCGGAGAAACGCTCGGCTAGGTCCGATAACGTCTCCTCGGCCGGGACATGCTGGCTCCCGTCTAGAACCCTCAGGTGCTCGGCCGCGGCCTTGAGCGCTAGCGCCTGGTTGTACCTCTGGAACTCGCCCTCGAGGCTCCCCGTCTCGGTTCTTCTCACACCGCCCCATCGCTCGACCTCTTGGTCTTCGACCTCGATCAACGTGGCCTTCTTTTCAGCGGCCCGCTCGCGCAACACGCGCATAGCCTCCTCCTCCCCCTCTCCTCCCCGCAATTTCCGCGTGAAGCATTTCCGCCCCGGCTTCATCACGCCCGCCTTATTCCACGCGATCTCGGGCAGCGTGCCGCCGAGCATTCCGACGTGGTCGATACCCAGCTGCGAGATCACCGAGGCGGTGACCGCTTCCGCGGGCAGCACGTTCGTGGAGTCGTACTCGCCACCGATGCCGCACTCCACGACCGCGCTCTTCACCCCCTCCCGCAGGAAGACGTGGAAGGCTAGGATCGTCAGGAAGCGGAAGTAAAACGGCTTCGAGGCAGGGCCCTCGACCTCCGCGGCAGAAACGTTCTTGTTCCCCGAGCGCGCGGCCTCGTCCCGCGCCGCCTCCGTCAGCGCGTCCCACACCTCGAAGAAGTACCGCGCGAACAGCTCCCGGCTGATCGGGCGGCCATCGAGCTGGATGCGCTCGCGCACGGAGACCAGGTGCGGCGACGTGTAGGTGCCGACCCTGCCGACGGCGGCGGGTACGCGCGTCAGGACGGAGGTCAGGTACGCGCACACGGAGCCCTTGCCCTTGGTCCCGGCGACGTGGATGCACCGGAGTCGGGCAAGGTCGTCCTGGGCTAGGCCGGCGCGGGCTAGCCACGAGAGCATCTCCGGGATGGCGAGGGCGTTGAGGTCCTTGGCGGAGGGGGACGAAGCGGAAACGGAGGCGGAAACGGAAACGGAGGCGGGAGGGGAGAACAGGGATGTGACGGCGCGGTTCGACTGAATGGAGTCGAGGTGCGCGAGCGCAGACTCGTAAGTCCGCGCCATGGTTGACGAGTAGAGACGCAGGGCGGTTATGTGAATGACGGTGGTGATGTTGAGGGGGAGGTGGAAAGGCAGAGGGAGAGGTCTGAGTAAGCACTTCATATGCGGATGTTTAAGGGAGTTGATGGTGATGATGATGAGGGAACTCACCGGCCGATCGCCGGACTCAGTAGCAAAGAATACCTAGGTACCTCTTAGAAGGCCCCACCCCCATTGAGACTATTGGAAATCTTACCTAGGGCGCCGTAGGATGGTACCTAGGTGTTGGCAATAACCCCTTATTTGACCAAGACAAGTCTTGACGAAACACCTTAGTGAAATTGTATTAATTTTCTCTCTGTATAATAAATACCTAGTGAAATGTATAGCAGCCCTGAGATGTAAATGGTTTTTTTTTAGCATAGATAATCTCACAGAGATATAGGACAAGTATGGCTTCAAATCCGCCATCGACAAACCCCCATTAAGAAGATTACGGTGAGGATCACGCTGAACATAGCATTAGGAGGTAGGTATATGTGTGCTTGATCATAGCGGAAGCTTTGTATACCTACCTGGTATCAAGGCATACCATACCATACATACCACACGGCCTCCTCCATCAAGTATCCTTCCTCTTCCCACCGAGACCAAGTTCCGCCACAAAGATATCCGCTGCTCTCTCGCCCACCGCAAACGCCGTGCTGGCCGTGTTGGCAGCCACGTTCCCCGGCGCGATGCTCAAGTCCGCGACCTTCAGCCCCTGAACCCCGTAGACGCTCAGGCTCGCGTCCACGACTCCGCCCTGCTCGGGCGGCGCCATCTTGCATGTGCCCAGCGAGTGCCAGGTCGTGCTGATGTGCTCGCGCAGCCACTTCTCGATGATCGCGTCGTCCGCCGGCGTGTACTTGATGTCCTTCACGACGTCGGCGAGGCGGCTGTTGTTGTTGTTGTTGTTGTTGTCGTCCCACAGCTCAACGCACGCCGCGTCGGAATCCGGCGGGAACGGCGGGTGCGTCGCGGCCACCTCCCCGCGGTACACGTCCGCGCGCCGGAGGATCTCCCGCTGCTTCTTGTAGATCCAGATGTGCTTCCTGACGTCGAGGTCGTGCGGGTCCGCGAAGAACCCCGTCTCGAAGTCGACCGGGTCGTCTACGCTCGGACCTGTGATGTGGATGCGGCCGCGAGAATACGGATGTACCGTAAATGCTGTTAGAGAGATAAACTGCCCCACTGGTATGTTGCCCGGATCGTTGGCAAACCTGTAGGAGAGGGGGGAGGGGTCAGCAACGCATATTCTAGGTTCGGGATGGTAATGAGCAAGGCTGGTTGGTCTCCTACCCGCTGACGAGAGACATCAAGGCAATCGGCTTGTTCGGCTTATCCTTAAAGTCCCGTTCCCACGCCGCCTGAAACTCGGGGCCGAGTTCAGCAGCCTCCGCATTCGTTGGCCGGACCGTGCAAGTGACATCCTGGGCGTTCCAGCCGGCCCTAGGGTCTTTAGTCTTGACGAGCTCGTCGACGCTGACCTCGCCGCGCATTATTGCGTCGGCTGTCTCTCCTGGTGCTAGGTTCGTCCTGTAGGAATGCACAAGCAGATGGTGGTCTTGATAATTAGTGCCGACGCCGGGAAGGCTAGAGATGACCGGGATCCCCGCTCGCTTCAAGATTTCTGGGCTACCTATACCGGACCTCTCTAGCACGGAGGGAGTTCCCAAAGTCCCGCTCGACAGGATCACCGTTTTGCGGGCACGGATGCTTCTGGCCAAAGTAGCATCCTGAAATCTAGGATTCGGCCGGTACTCAACCCCAACCGCGTTTTTCTTGTCGTCGATGATTACTCGTATGACCTGGGATTCCACTAGGACATGCAGGTTTGGGTGCTGGCCGTCTCGGAGTCGAGGATGTAGATATGCATGGGCAGCGTCCTGACGTTTGCCATCTGGCGAAATGAAGCGCAGGGCCCGTTGGGTACCGTTAATGGAATCTAGGCTTTGAAGGTCTTCTATCTCAGGCCAGCCAAGCTTCTTAGCAGCCTCGATGAAGCTGTTCGTGGGTGCTAGAGCTCGGTATGTAGGTAACTTTTGAAATCTGAACTGGCCTGTCGTCTCCATGAGTGTCCTTGGAGCCGGGGCCGTGGTATGTTTCGAGCTGCAGAATCCGTCAGATGCGGTTCACGATAATAGGTAAATCGGTCCGTTTGACAGGTACCTTCTTGAGATATGGAATTATGTCGTCTGCAGACCAGCCGGGCATATTCCAAGCATCAAAATCAGACCGCTGTGCCCGAGTATACATCATGAAATTTATAGATGAGCCACCACCGAGAATGCTGCCCGTCGGCACGACTAGTTGCCTATTGCCCACCTTCTCTTCTTGTCCGGCTTGGTAGAACGAAGCCGCCGTGCTAGTTGGCGCCAGATTGCGCGTGAAGAGGATAGGATGCACGATCGTGGGCAACTCATAATTGTTCTGTCTACTTTCGATCACCAAAACAGAGAGGTCTCGGTCAGCGTCGCTGAGCCTTGAAGCAACTACACTGCCAGCGGTTCCTCCTGCGAGGGGTTAGCGTCCAGTAAAGTTACAATTCTACTATCAAGCCTTTAAGAATCAGAAAGGTTCTACCTACCTCCTATGACGATAACGTCAACCTCTTCCAAGTCATGAGGAAGTTGTTTGAGAATACCCATCGTAGTTCGAATGATAGTCTACCTATTATCTGACAAATATTCAATGTTAACTTTTAAGGATAGATCGATGGAAGTAAATCCGAACTGGATATTTTATCTATTAAATAAAATGTGAGAAACGGACATGCTTTCTAGTTGTAGGAGATGGGATAAGCCCTAATGACGCAGGTCCTTACCGCCATTCAAGCTATCACTACTCCATAGTTAGGTGTATACTTGAGTCCGAGTACCTACCTATATTCGAATCTTATTCGAATGACCTATCGGCGTATTTCGACTGCCGGCCGCTGTTTATGCGCCGACGACGTATCCTCGTCGAGTACGTGGCCCCAGTGATGGTTTATAACCGGAATAATTTTCTGTTGCCCAGTCCGAGTCGGTTTGATGAAACAATCGAAGTACGTATTAGGTACGGATAGGGAACTTGCATGCGCTCTGCAGGCTGGATACCAGAGAAATACGCGTATAGGGAACCTACCCCCCAGGTCCCTTAGGCATCATATATAAAACGTCCTGACCTAACATATGAAGATCCCAGACATCGCCCTTACTTTTGGTGAATAGATAGTGCTTCTTGTTGAAAATACTCACATAGCAATTTACTCAGCACGACTATACAAGTATGCTTATACCTTATGATCCTGTAACATCAGGTCATCTATACTGGCAAGATGCTTTGATAATACACACGTAGATACCACAAAAAGACACGGAGTAGTTCAAGAGCAGGGTATACCTGCCGTCTATTTCTTGTAATTATCTCATACACAGGCTGATTAGCCTCCCTCCTCGCTCTCCCCTTTATTTTCTTTCCTCTAGACAAGGGCAAAAGTAGGTTGGGTAGGTACCTAGGGTAGGCACCTAGGGTAGGTAGGTGGTATGTTAGAGGATGCAAATGTACAAGGGACACGTGGAAGTGTAAAAGCAAAAGGGACGATATGTTTCCGTTTCTTATGTCTCCTGGTTTACTCGACTCTCAAGCTCTGTAACCGAGCTTCGGAGGCGATGACCTATTTATTCTCTGTCAGCATATCTTCAAGAACGGGTAATATATCGAAATCTTACATCCAAAGCTTGTTGCACCTCGAGTACCTTCCTAACCTCTGCCAGCCAGTCTCGGCTCAGCGTCTTGGCCCATCCTTGTAGGCCGTTCATCTCTCGTGCCGCGGCATCCAGGTCGCCCTCCTCGAGAAGCGTCTGGGTTCGTGTAAGGATACTTTCGACATCGTTGCCAGTCGCTAGACCTTGCTTCTTGAAGAGAACCTTGCTCAGCACCCAGCTCGACGCGTGAGAAGCTACCCCTGCGTCGTCGGGCAGCAAGCTAGCTTTCCTCACCTCGGACGCAACGCGACGGAAACGATCGATTAGCTGAGAAGGCGTAGCGATGCCGCGTTGGTAGGCCGACGGGTTGATCGAGCCGACGGCCGCGTTAACCACCGGGTCATCCGTAGCGATCTCCTTTAAGGCAACTAATTCCTTGACGAAAGGTCGCGGGTGCTCGGCGTCGCTGAGGCTGGCGCGCACGGCCTCGACGGCGACGTGCAGCTGCTGGGTCTTGAGGGTCATGTCGACAACGTCGTTCCATCCCGTCGTGAGCTGCTCCAACTCCCTGACAGCGTTACTTAACTGTTCTAGCTTGCCAAGCCTGCTATTTCGCTCTTCCTCGACACAGTTTTTGACTTCGCGCAAAAACTGGCGCTTTAGATTCACGGCCTGCTCGATCAGCAGATTGTTAAGCCTCGCTTCGTTGAGCTGCCTTTCCCGCTCTATCTCCGTCTTGATTCTCGAATCGTAAGCAGCCTGAATGCGTCGAATCTCCTCCTCGAACTCTGCCCTCCACCGCTTCTCCTGGGCGTTCATAGCTCTCTCGACACGGCTAACTAACTCGACGGCCGCATCTTCGAATTCCCTAACCTTGGCCGCCACTTCCGAGGCAGCGTCCTGTTCAACTTGGGCCTTCATCTCGCGGATCTTGGAACCGACCTTGTTCAGCTCACTCTTGGCCTTTTCGACGGTAGACGAAAAGCGGCCGTCGGCATTGTCAGCGTTGACGACGGTGATGATATCGTTGAGCATTTTAACCAGGTCCTGGACCACAGGCTCTTGAGCGTCATTGACGCCTAGAGGATCAATGGGGGCAGGGGGAGGGAATCGAGAGGGCTCGTCAACTTCGGGAGGTACGAAGCCGACGGTTTCCTTCTTCGGCGGTTCAGCCTTCTTCTCTGCGGCCTGAGGAGCTGCAGCAGGAGTAGGTTCGGGGGCCGCAGGTTTCGGTGCTTCGGCTGGCTTGGCCGCAGGGTTCGACTCGGGTCCTGAAGAAGAAGAAGCAGCTTTGCTAGCAGCGGTTTTGCTAGCAGTTATATCTCGCATGGCACTTGACTGCCTACCAGCTGGTTCGCCGGCATCGGCGACTCTCCAAGATGCGCCGCTCTGTGGCGATATCTTGACGTGAGCTCCGGTGTCTTCGCCTCGGCCGCCAATGGTCAGACCACCGGGGTATCGCTTTTTGTAGTCGAGCTCTTCCAAGTAGAGCACGGCTTTTTCGCCAAACGGTACATATTCGGTAAAGAAGTCGTGGAAGTTGTCGCTTATCCGTGAATACCACACACCACCAGCGAAGGTGATAGCTCCTAGGAGTATGAGAGTCAAGGTATAGTTATACAATCGACGGAAGAACCCCTTCTTCTTTCTCAAGGGCGCTGGCTGGGGCGGGGCAGGCTTAGAGTTGGTCTTTTCAGCCGCGGATTCTGGGACGGGCGGAGGCGGAGGAGGCGTGTGCGGGACTTCCTTAGAATCAATTGTCGAGGATGCAACTTTAGCTTCTGTTTTTAGCGCGGGGGGATCACTCGACGCAGCGGTGGTGGTCTCGGACGTAGGTAGCTTCGCGGGTGTAGAGTCATTTATTGAGGGCTTCTTGTTATCGGCGTAGCATCTCTGGTTGCAATTGACGTTAGCCCTCGGTTCTCTGGCAGTGGTACGGGCATTATGTTATGTCTATGCTACATCTATGCCATATATGCACATCTATGCCGTATCTGTGACTTGGGGAACTTGAGGAGGACTTAGGGGACTTCATACCCTCCCGGCTGCACCAGCCGATCGTGCGATCGCGGGCTGCCATTGACGGCCGACGGCAGCAGCAACGGGCCTGCTGCCTACGGCCTTGACAGATCGCAACGATGTCCGCAACATGAGGGCATCGAACGGGCCTTCAAAAATGCGATTGCCGTTGCTAGGTTATGACTGGGGTGGTTGTCGTGGGCGAGGGATTATATGATGTAAAAACCTCGGGAAGCTTTTTTAAGCTGCACGTCGTTTTGGAAGCAAGTTGCAGGTTGCTCGGTCTAGTGGGACCTGGGATATACGTACCTACGTACTTTTTCTTTTATTATGTAATCAATCATTCCGTCACCACATGGCACATGCAGCATTACAGCATCATATTTCCACAAACTTATTAGGTACCTTACCTAACGTAGTACATGCTAATATCTCTACAATAGAAGGCAATCAAAAGAAGCTTGCCAAAACAGGGACCTAGGTAATAGTTATAGCACAGTTATAAAGTACCTAATGCATCTCATCAAAAAATGTTACTCTATCGCATTACTCGCCGAGCTATATACGTAGTAGCCCAGCCTCGTCCAGTCTCAGTCCAAGTTCATCTCAAGCCACATGCCGACGTACCTCTTAACACTTTGCCTATAATCGACTGCGATGCATCCAGCAGTTAAGCCTGTACCTTGAGAACTCGGTGAAAAAAAGTCAGGTATTAAAAAACGATGTATGCCCTCCTACCAAGAAACTCCCAATGAAATATACACTTGAGCATCTCGCGTCTTTCGTCATGCTTCCTAAACACGTCCAGTCTCTGTTGCAGGCCGGACCTGGATAGCAGCCTGGCTCGAACAGTTCTGCAGAGCCTGATTGAGTGTTCCCACTCGAGCACGGCATCTCTGCCATAAGATAAGGCATGAGAACGCAAATATGACACCAAACAGCTAGCCCAGCGCCAGGGAAATCAGTGCGCTGCGAGGAACTTCTAACCCTTCGTTGTACCACGCCCCAACGGTATCCAGTAGCCCCCGGAACTGCCTCTAACACGCGCAAGGCCCTCCTGATTGTGTATTCGCACCCTCCGGAGCCAAGCTGACGCCTCCCGGTCGTTGACCAGGCCTGGTGTGTCGAGGACCGACTTGGTCGAGCGGTAACTTCTTCGCAATAGCAGTAAATAGTTCCCGGACATTCTCTGCCGTCTTGGCCGAGGTTTCGAAGAATAATAACCCCGCTTCGTTTGCGTACGCTTCGGCATCGGCAGTCGAGACAGCTCGCTTGTCGGGTTGCTCGGTAACTAGATCTAGCTTGTTTCCAGCAAGGGCGATGATGATGTTCTCGTTTGCTTGTCTTTGCAGTTCTTTCACCCAAGCCTTCGCCTTATCGAGAGATGCCTACGCTTATTGTTAGCCAACCCAACCGCCACCTCTTTGTTCCTCGAAGACGTACGGATTGAGTGATATCATAGACAACGACGGCGCAGTTCGCATTCCGGTAGTACATGGGCGCCAGGGACTTGTACCGCTCCTGGCCGGCAGTATCCCAGATTTCAAACTTGACAGTGGTGTTCTCGTCTAAGGAGATGGTTTGCGTTAAGAAAGCAGCGCCGATAGTGGATTCGCGATACGAGTCGAATTGGTCCTGGACAAGGCGTTAGACAAATTCATCTAGAGCTCGTCGAGAACCTATTCACCTTCACAAATCTTAAGACGATAGAGCTCTGTAGTGTAGTATACATGTTAGCAAAAGATGCTGCCTAAAATGGGTCTGATGATGGGCCGGCTGTACCTTTCCGACCGCAGATTCTCCTATAAATTAATTAGCATATGATATTACACCAATCCAAGGTCCAACTAAAATCGTGATGCATACCTAATAACACTAACTTGAACTGCGCGAAGCGTCCTGTCACGCCACTCCTAGCCGCAGGGCCCGGTCGAGAAGCCATGATAGATGGATAAATGGGATTCTGAGGATATCGCGGTTGTGTTTGGAGAGAGAGATGAGAGTCGAAAAGGGTAGAGGATGGAGGGGGGACAGAGGCGGCGATTTGATAATGGAGAACTTTACGGGGTCTGTCTTATCGGAAGGGTGGTATTATTATGGTCGATGTGGACGGTCTGGACGGTCTGGAAATCAAGGTGGTGGGAATCGGAGAGTAACGCAAGACAAGGCTGTATGTAAAGTGGTAAAACCCGACTCTAAATGCTGGTGAGACAAAGGGAGCGTTTGGGAACGGAACTAGCTTCGCAGATAAACGAAAGGTTGTTCGGACCAAAGATGGATTAAAGTTGTGGTAAAGTGTGTTGATTGATTACTGCCTTGGCTTCGTGCGATGTTTGAAGGAAGCTAAAGGTTATGGAAGAGTTGCGCTCTGAATGGTGAGTGGCTGAGCAGGTGAATGATGTAGTGGAGCAACACGTCGCCAGGCTCGGGTTGCCGGTGCCGCGCAGGTGGCTACAGTGGGAAGCCACATGTTATTAGTGAATGATTATGTACCTATATGGGAACCTGCTATTTTTATTGTTAACCCCACGTGATTTTGATTACTACGAATAATTTGTCAAAGTGCCCAGTGATTTCAAGTGAAATGCTCTGTAACTGTAGTGTATAATTATTCACTTATCCAATATTCCTTATTTTAGCACCCAAAGTACCTACACTCAGTTCCGATAAGGCAGTGACCCTCTCCCCCTCGACTCCTTATCACAACTGAATTTCATATGTAAACGGAAATGTAAACGGCACCGTGCACACCCTGGAAATAGACCTGGGTACCTTGGCTTCTTAGCTTCTTAGCTTCTTGGCTTCGAAATCCCCTTTCGGGAAATATAGATGTACATTATTTCATCAGCCGCAAACCCGTAACGAAACTCAAAGCTGCGCAACTTCACTTCACATACCAAAACGACGTGCTCTCGCGATCGTCTCACCCTCCCTGCACTCCTTATCCTTCCGTCTATCTTGATTTATTCCATTCTTCTTCTTGATACCACATTATGAGTGCGTGCTGAGCATCACCATCATCATCATACAGCTAGCCCATCATGACCCTCCCCTACCGGGACATTAATGTCCACGTAGCAGCAGACTCCTATACTTTCACCTCTCCCTCCTCCCCTAATGCTCCGGCTCTTATCGTCGACCGTCCTACAGGTGACGTGAGGCTGAGCGAAGCTTCTCACTTCCCTAGCAAGCGCGTCTCTCGCGTCTCTAGTATACCTGGCATACTCGGCTTTCTCAAACTTAGACTTGGTATTCCTCCGCTTACCTACCCTACCCGTGGAAATCTGTTGGCGCAAAACTAATATAGGGTAGATAAATATGTCATCGTCATCACGAAGAGCCAGCCCGTGGGCCGTCTCAAGGGCCATATGGTATACAAGATCATTTCGACCGAGTTCCTCCCTATGCGCGAGCGACAGATCCGCGATCCTGATGAAGACCAGTTCCTATCCCTACTTAAAACTTACATTATGAAAGGACCCATGTACTTCTCCTACTCCCTCGATCTTACCAACAGTTTTCAGAGACAAGCTACCATGGACAATTCGAGCCCGCTTTGGATGCGAGCCGACGATCGTTTCTTCTGGAATAGATTTGTACAGTCCGACCTCATAAACTTTCGCAGAACCGGTAACAGATCGCAACCAGGCCCTCAACCAGGCGCCGACCCCTATATCCTACCGGTGATATGGGGAACGCTCGAGATACGACCCACTACATTTAAGAATACGCCCCTGACTCTTGTTCTGATCACCCGTAAGGCAAGACACCGGGCTGGGACCAGATACTTCACGCGAGGTCTTGATGAGGAGGGACACGCCGCAAATTACAACGAAACCGAGCAGATTGTCGTTTTGAACGACACAGGTCGAGGCTTGGGCGGATATGCCGGAAGTACCGACATGCAAAGCGGCAAATACCGTAGCTCAGAAGGAGCGGAGACACAGGTTTTATCTTACGTCCAAACGCGAGGCAGCGTACCTGTGTATTGGGCCGAAATAAATGCCCTCAAATATACCCCTAAACTTCAGGTCAGGGGTATCGAAACAGCTCTGCCCGCGGCCAAGAAGCACTTCGACGAGCAGATTCGAATCTACGGCGATAATTACCTGGTGAATCTCGTCAACCAGAGCGGGCGCGAAAAGCGCATCAAGGAAGCCTACGAGCAGATAGTGCAGATGCTCGTTTCCTCGCCGACGGACAAGGTTAAAAGTGACGCCATCACCGACGAAAAGTTCCACGTTATCGAGCCCAGCTCCTCGAAACAGGAATATGACCGGTTACACTACGTCTACTTCGATTACCACCACGAGACCAAGGGCATGCAGATGCACAAGGCCATGTTGCTCGTCGAGCAGCTTCAAGACGCTCTCCTAAAGCAGCAGTACTTCCGGGGCGTAGACATGCCTGCCAACGGCGGCCTCGAGACTAGGAACTTTCAGACCAGCGTTGTGCGGACGAACTGCATGGATTCTCTCGACCGCACAAACGTCGTTCAAAGTATGCTGGCGCGATGGACGCTGGACCGCATGTTCACCGACCTCGGTCTGCTCCAACGAGGCGAGACTTTCGCCACTGCGGATGTTGCTTTCGAATTCCTTTTCAGGAACATATGGGCCGACAACGCCGATACCGTATCTAAAGCTTACGCAGGCACCGGCGCTATGAAAACGGATATTACTCGTACAGGCAAACGCACAAAGGCGGGTATTTTACAAGACGGAAATATCGCCGTTACGAGATTCTACCTAAATAATTTCCGGGACGGTCCTAGACAGGATGCCTTCGATCTCTTCCTGGGCGCCTACGAGCCTGCTGCCGCTAACATCGGCTCCTCGTACATATTCGCGGATCGCAGGCCTATTCTCATCCAGAGCATCCCCTACGTCCTTGCGTTCAGCTTATTCTTTATCTTCGTGGGTCTCTTTACGAAGCGCCTCCCCGGTTCGACGGTCTGGACCATCAGACTCTTCATCCTATTTTGGCTGGTTGTCGCCGCCTGGTGTTTCAACTTTGTTATTAGCCACGGGATGCTCTTTGTAAGTTTACTTCTCGAGACCTTTTCCTCTTATTTCTTCATGCTGCCATACATATCTGTGTTGCGGAAATAAGTACGACGATGCTAACTACGTTACTACAGGTCAACTGGCCCAAGCTCAATCCGCGACCGTGGGCCGTCGAGGGATACCAAGACGCCATCACCAAGATCCACAAGGACGCTCTGCTAGGCCCCTTCGTGGCCCGGCACGAGCGCGGATTGAGCGCGGCGCGCTATCTCAACGCGGAAGAGGGCAAGAAGAGGATCGAGTAATTAATTATCCGGGAAAAAAAAAGGAGGAAATGGAAAGCATTAGGGGGAGGGGGGGGGGTTATGTATTTTTATTTAATTTCGTCTTGTCCCCTTAAATCCCCGTTGGCCCGTTCGAGATTATCGTTTCAAATTAATTGCGTAATTTTATCTTTACTTCGTTTCTTGTCTGTGTGTCTTGTATGTATTTAGAAGGGCTATTTTATCATTTTAGTTGGAGTTTGCGTTAGGAGTTAGTTGTACGCCGACGTTCAGTTTACCAATACCTAAAGCATTAAGAGGTTGGCGGTACCTAATGGCCTGAGCCTCGCGTATTCACTTGGCCCCCCTTAACCGTTTAATGTTGCTATTTCGAATCATAATTGTCCCCCCCCCCCCCCCCCTTAAGTGTACACAACATATCTTCACGTTGGAGTTCCCAGCAATAACTTGCTACCTTGGATGGATACCTACCTAGGTACCTACCTGGTATAATTCAAAAGTTGATAAAACACGTTCGTGAGGAGAAACTTAGTAATTATTACGATTAACTACACAATTCTACAAGCTATCTATAAAAGTAAAAGCACCGCATAATTGGAGCGCGTATATCGTACACGTACGTACAAGCCAGTCAGTCAGTCTTCTGTTTCCTTCCCTCCCTCGCTCTCGCTTGCTCGCCCCCTTTTTCTCTTTTTTTTTCCAATCCGCGCAATGCATAAAAGGTAAGTAAATTATTAAGTAGTAGTAGTAATGGAACTCCGAATCATGCTATATCCGCAAAAAAAAAAAAAAAAAAAAGAAAGGGTGTCGTTGTTCTCAGTCCTTGCAGTCATGCTCTCCTGCTCGGAAAAGACAAAGTTCACGCTGTAGAAAGCAATAACACTGTAAGGAAAAGGCACGTGGGTAAGGTAGATAGGAGGTATGTAGTCCTTGACAACAGTTGAAGGCATGTGTTTTACATGAGATACGTAGAATACCTGTAATTCGAAAAGAAAAGTTTCGTCCGTGTGGACTATCTTGGCGGTAGTAGTATAACAATAATAAAAGAGTCATAAGAGAAGAAAGCGGGATAGACAGAAGACAGTAGACAGAAGAGAGGACAAAAAAAGAGAAAAAAACGCAACGCAACGCAACCACAGGGGTATCATTACCAAAGATATTCGTCCAAATAACAAAAGTAATCCTCCTCCTATACTCGGTGCTCAACGCAACGCATCAAACCAAGCAATAGTAACGCAATAATTCGACGTATTAATTTTTCTTCCCCTCCCTTCCCTTCCTCCTCGCGAGGGTAGCGCTACAGCCAAAGCAACCACCTCGCGACTCCTACGACGCCCTTTCCCACGCCTAGTACTATACGTGTGAGCATCACCACGAACCAGACATACCACATGAACCCGACGAGCACCCATTCGACCGCTAGCCAGCCGACGCGACGAACCCACCGGAACCGCCGTCTCCGGCGTCGCAGCATCTTATCCATGGTGTCCGTCACGCTCTTCGCCTTAAGTCGCTGCGCGTCCACCAGGTCGCGGTTGACTTCGTCCGCCTCGTCCGCAGCCCGTCGCGTCATCTCCATGAGGTCGCCGCCCACGCGGGCGTGCAGAGCATCTACGCGCCTGTACAACGCAGGTACAGTCTCGCCTGCGAATCGCGCCGTGCTAGTTTCCGAGGCTTGGATGGAACGAGTAACCGTGTCCGACAGTATGCGCCCGGTAGTCGGGTATAGCTGAGCCTCTGATACGACAATATCGGCCGATTTGTCTGGTAGGAATTGGCGGATATAGGTCCATGGCAGCCCGACGCTTTTATCGTTAAGGGCGGAGAGCGCATATTGCTCGTGTGCGCGCCGCGAGATCTCCATGGCCTTGATGCCGGAGCATACTATTAACGCGCGGATACGTGCCATCTCGCGCCTGGATAGCTGGGTGCTTTGGAGGGTCCGGCTGGCGTCCGAAACCGACCAGTAGCGAGCGCTCCCCGATAATGTCCGAGAACCAAGTCTGGGTCGGTTCTGCGGAGGTGGAAGAGGGGGTATCTCGGCCAAATCTGTCAGCGCATCCCGCGGCTTATCGACCGAGTCGCGCGGGCGCGATTCCGTGTCGGATATATCCGAATCGCGGATTTGATGGGACCTGGTTTGTTCGAGCTCCGTCGGGGACGAGGACGAGGCTCTACGGATGTCGATACGAGGGGGTTTCAGTCGGTCGAACCTAGGCGACCTGGTAGGTCGAGATGTAGTATGTAATAAAGCGAGAGGTTCCAGCTCTCCAGCAGCCGGCTTGTCGTGAGATGCCGAAGCCGATTTGAAAGGAGGCATAACGTCGAGGTAATTCTTCTGACGGTTGCTCTCATCCCGACGCCGCGACCGCGAGCTGCTACGAGATAAGGTAAAAGAGCTCCTAATTCTGCCTCGTTTAGTGTCCTCGTCCGGATCGTCAGTTGACGAAGGTGACGAAACATCCTCGGCGTCAGAATCCTTCTTCCATAGCAATTCGGTGACCTTAGAAACGCCGCCTCGTATCATGCCATCTAATTTGGCACCTCCTTTGAAAATACTCCGCAGGCCGGGCTGCTCGTCAGCTTTCATCTTGATGCTTCCCATGCTACGTTGCGGTTTATGACCCTCGTTGGTATTCCGCGGGTTGAGTCTGCGCGTCAGGCTCTTAGACCTACGCCTGTCGGGAGAACCAACCCGGTCCGTAGTTCCAGCAGTAGGACTTAGCAGTTCGGGCGGCTCGGCGGGACTGTCCAATTTGTCGCCTCTCTCGCGAACCAGATAATCGGCACCACGTTCTCGCTCCTTACTACGATCGCGAAAGATGCTCTTGACCCTTGAGAAAGGCTTCCGCCCGGGAGATCCCGGTCGGCTATTGGGCGGGGAGACATCCACGCCTGTAGTCGGCAGATAAAGATGACGACCTCGTGATCTTGTCTCTGGCGACTCCGGCCTTAAAGAGTCCATCGATACTCTGTAATTCTGACCGGGGACCTCGAGACTGGCACGTCCCGAACCTACCGAAGACCCCTGCGATACCCTTCCGCGGCCGACTTTCTCGTAGTTGTCAGACATGTCGATTCGTAAGTCTTTGCCGCTATGCATTTGCTCTAGGGAATGGGAAGCCTTTTCGGGCGTCGCCATCCTTGCCGGCAGCTGTTTGAGACGTCCGATATCAGCCTCGTCCGAAACCTTCTGTTCCTCATCGGCCTCCTTTGCCAGCATATCCATCATCTGCTTCTCTAGCAGATCCGTACCGCTAGCACTAATAGTACCGGTACGATTTCGTCTCTTGCGGTCGCTCTCGCTATCCGACGTATCGGATAAGGAACCTTTCCTGAACCGTAAGAAGTCGTGGCTATGGGAGGCGTTCGGTTTGTGGTGCATCCCCCTCAAATCCTGAAGTTTTTGGCGGGCACGATCTCGCGCGCTTAAGATAGGTATCTCGAACTCTAGCTTAGTTGGACTTGTGCGGTCTGTCTCCGAAGCAGCAGCCACATCACCCACGTCGCCCTCCTTAGTAGACGATGCGGGCAGGGCGGATGCAATAGGCTCGTTCGTCTGGTTATTCATCGGAACTTGAGGCTCCAATTTCCGCGGATAAATCTTGGAATAATGACGGTCTTCGATGAGATATTTGTTGTCTCCCTGTTCTAACCAGTAGGCGTCCGCAAGCATATCCGCAGGATCGATGGTCCAATCTATTCTCAGTCGCTTAGGTTTCGCTACCGTCGAGATCGGCCTTGGAATATTAGAAGGGGGGAGGTCTTGATCGGGATTTTCGTGCGCTCCTGGAAAATGAGGAAGAGAAGAAGGCCCAAGTGATAGAGCCGACGTAGCTGCGGACGTCGCCGTTTCGTCGATCCAATCCGTCACCCTCGAGACGTCCGAAAACCCTTGTGCCTCCCCATCAATAGCTCTGCGTTCTCGGGCTCGCACCTTCCGATTTCGTATATATTGAAGGGGGTTGTAAGGTCGACCTAGCGAGACCTGTGGTGCACCAGTAATAGGGTTCAAAGGCGACCCAAGGGCCCCGGAGGACGTCGAAAGACCAGAAGAGGAAGGTCGGGAACGGGCATCTTGCTTGAGTGGAGGGAGAAATTGCAATAATCTCCTGTACTGAGCCATCAGCTCGAGGTGTTCTTTTGCCTTCTGCGCCCGATTGAGAGTTGAAGAGGAGAAATGGTATTGATAGGCGCCGTCGTGATCGAAAGATTGCAGCGGGCTAGCCATCGACGATGTCGAAATAATCCTCGGAGACAAGCTTTTATCAGGTCGTGGAGAAATAGTACGGGAAGTCCTCCTCTGCTGCTGCAAGTGGTGCTTAAGACTACCCCCAGCCAGATTATCAGGAAGTTGGGCGAGACGGGGAGGTATCGGACTCGACATGTTTCTCCTCTCGGCCAGACGTCTTGATTCGCTCAAGTTAAGAGCCATGTTCACGATCTGGGTAGAATCGACATCGAGAGGGGCCGTACTAGGTCGCGGAGTTGGAGTTGGTATCCTCGAGATTCCTCGTCCGCCGTGGCTATGCCGCCTCTCTTCTTCGGATGCCGGGCTTATTGCTCGTCGTGTTTGACCGTCGCTCGACCTCCTCATCTCCTGCCCATCAATACCCAGCCCCATCGGAGAAGTGCCCGTCGCATTGGACTTGTCCGGTACAGCCAGGGACCCCTTTCCCTTGCGGCCATCCAACGGTATGCGTGATCGTCTACGTCCGTCATCCCGACTCGTCGATCTTTGCTTTTGTGGTTCGTTTATAAGGGGATTGGCAAGGAGAAAGCCTCCGCTCGATCGGGGTTTGTGTGGCCGGCGCCGCTTATGCACCTCATGATTCGAGTCCTTACCTCCCTGATCCGGCGCATAGGGGCTCGAGTTCGATTCGTCGTGGTCTATGCGAGAAGAACGGCTTATTGTTGTCGTACCTGTCGAAGGCTCGTTGAGGCTTGCGGCAGCACTAGATTCGCCAATCTCGTAACTGCCACGGCTATGCGAGGACCTCGGGGTTGGTATTCGGCTTTGGTAAGTGGTGAGCGCATCGCCGCTATTTTCCTTCATCGTGCCCATAGCATCGGCCTTATCGGGATACCTTCTCGTGTGCCGAAGGGACGCTTTAAAGGATTTGATGGGCTATATGCTATCTCCTTTGAGGTTGTTCGGCGAGAGACCTGAACATTTTGGAGGTTTCCAATAAGCTGCTACTATGTAATAGAAGAAGAAATAAAGACAAGGGGATCATGAACAAAAGTGCTTGGCCGGGTACGTATATGATGAAATTAACGGTGACTTGATGAACTTGATGACTTTAATGACTTTAATGCTCTTTATTTAATGTTAAGCAAACAATTTTCTTTCATCGCCGGTGTTCTCTGCATAAAATCGAGTCTATTCTACTTTAATGTACGAAGTAATTCCAAGGTAATTACAAGCTTATCTCAAGTTGGACCGGTCGCGGTTCGCGGCACGCTAACTGCCAGGATGCTGCCGACTTTAACCCCGGTAGCTTTATTGAAATGGGCCTAGAAATGGGCCCTACATTCGAACCAAGGATGCATGTGAACGGGTTACAGCTGTTTAAATACATGTTTAGTGGTATTTAGCATACTGGCTATATGCATCAATCCGTGATAAACCCCTGAGATACCCCCAAAATAGAGGCATGCACTTACACAAACTCCAACACCTGACTCGATACAGCTTCATACGTACGAAGTAGTACATAGAGAGCAATACAAAAATAGGTAGCCGACGTAGTTCCAGTGTTAGACGGCATAGAAATACACATTTACTTGTCCACGTGGTTCCTAGTATTGGGATTGTTTACCATAATATGTAACATATCGGCACAAAATGCTTCACACATCTTATGACACTCTACACGAAAAGTTCCACGGCATTCTGTACCTGATGTATCATATCCGCTACGTAAACAATAACAATACACACGATCCACAATCAACATCAATACAAGTTCGAGTCCAACGATAAAAGAATTACTCAATAAAATTCTGCATAGTGAGTCCGAACGCCGGGAAAAAGCGAGCAACTCCCCTTCTCCAAGCCTGCTTAAAAATAAGACCGAGTACACAAAGGACTATATTTTTCCTAGGACCAGGTAGCCAGAAAGCTACCAGAGACAATCCGCCCCTTTCTATCAGTAGGTGTGCGACCAAACCCCCTTACTATCCGTCCATCGGGAATCCAATATCGAGTCTTGCTTCCAACTGACGAATGAAGCGGCTTGGCTTTATATTACCACTCAAAAAGGTATCTAAGTTAAATATGTATAGTGACGACGGGAGGTATGATATACGAAGCGAACACGAAGGAGATTGCGTGCCTCAGTTCGTGAATAGTAGGTGATGACGAGCGATAGCGAACGAGCCCATCATCTATCAGCCTTGCTTGTAAGGTAGCTAGTTCGTAGGCTGCGATGAGGCTCAATCATAGGAAAGCTAAGAAATAAGTAATAATTTTTGGTATTACGCGCCTGGCCGCCCGCCGATAGCGATAAACGACCTAGGATGGGCTCTTTCGCTAAGGAGCTGGGGAAGAGCCGTGTTTTGGAACAACGACCGAATGCTTGGTTGTATAAGGTCACGTTTGGAGTTGCTGCCGCCTTTCGCAGCATTCGTAACTGATACGTATACCGCGACAATGATGACGATAACGGCAATAATGGCAACTGGATCAGAATGTCAGCGAATTATTCATAACAGGTAACATGCGAAGTTGCGAAGTTGAGTTAGACATACCGACAATACCCAAGCAAATCCACTTCTTCTTTCGCGTCGCCCTAGCAGTGTTGATAGCTACACCCACTTCTTGATTGCCCTTGTCGAGATTCTCGACCACTTCTTCGGCCTTCTGCTCGATGTTCACAATAGCAACTTCTTGCTGTATAATGAGCGTGTCCATATCCTGGAACAGCTGAGCTAGTTCGATCATCTGCTGTTCGATCTTCTTTAACTGAGCATGGCGATCTTGTACGGCGCTCAAGACAGCTTGGGCTTGGCCACGACGGTTGCTCTGCATTAACGCTTGCTGGAAAACCTGGCCACCAGTTTGATCTTCGACAGCAGCTTGCACCTCGGCCTCGTCGGCATCGGGTCGCACGATACGGTATTGTCGGGCCATCTGCTCTTGCGTCTTCTTGCGAAACGCAGACTCGACACCCTGGTAGGCCCTGATCGCATCCTTTAATCGTCCATCGACGCGACGAACCTGCTGAGCAAACTTCTGCTGGCTCTCGGGGTTGCTCTTCAGCTGTCGTACGCGCTCGGTAAGCGATCTGTATTCGGCCATGGTCTGGGAGCTAAGAGCGTCCAACTGACGGTTGGTGTTGCTGGAAGCAGAAGTGTCGGCATCGTCGAGGGCTCTTTGCTGAAGCACCTTGAGCTGGTCGAGGTTTCGGTCGATCGTGTCGATCCCGCGGTTGATTTCCGAGACCTCGTTCAAGATAGAGTTCGCATTTCCGCCTCCAAAACCGCCCTGGTTCTGGGTGAGCGAGGCCATCTCGACGTTTGCTATGCTTCATTAGCGTAATTTCATAGGGCGTCGCGTGTCGTCTTTATAGAACATACAGCCATATTCGTCTCCGTATTCTTGTCGTCCATAATTGTTGTCGACAGCGCCGTTACGCTCGTCGAAAGGGTTATGCTGCCCACCGTATCTAAATTAATAGGCATGCTATGTTAATCGACTTGAACAGCAGCTTTCGTCGCAATATTATTTATTATTTCACGATCGGAAAAGGGGGAATTAACGAACCCGTACTGTGCCATGATGTTAGTAACTTGTTAATACAGAATACAGAAGACCAGTTCTGTGAGGATAGGCAAAAACTAATAAAAAATGAAAACAAAAATGAAAATGAAAATGAAAATGAAAATAGCAAGTTTACAGGAAGGATAGGAAATTCGCGTGGAATTCTTAATAGGCAGTGGAGCCATTGAAACATTCAAGGGGCAGATTTCTTACACTCATGGCGCTTCAGCGGCTTTGTCTGCTAGGGAGCAGACTTGAACTAGGATTGGGGGTTTGCTTTTGAAGATAGTTGTCGTCGATGTCTCGTTTTTTTATCCGTCCTAGCCCGAGCAAGTATCGATATTTTTGTTTTCCTGTAGCGCTTGAAAGAAATTGTAAAAAATAAAATAAAAATAAAAATAAAAAGATTCTCGACGGTGTTTGGAAAGGAAAGAAAGAAAGACGGTTTTGACAGTTGGTAATTTGCTATTGCAGACAGGAGCCAAGCTGACAAGGTGAAGCTAAAAAAAGGGTCTGGATGGAACTAGGCCAGTAAGGTGGATCGCGAAAAGTGGCACAAATACTTCTTTAGGCAATATACAATACCTGTGCGTCGTACCATGCAAGCCAGTAATAGCTCGGTGCTAGCCCCAATGCTACCTAAGTCCAGTATCCAGTCCAGTGCTAGCCTACAGTAACACTACCTGGCCCCGTCTCCTATAAATGGTCCACCTCGAATATTATTGGCTCTGCATCACCTGAATCTCCAACGTTGTATCAGATGCGAGAATCGCCTACCCAAGTTTGCACGCATTCGTAAATAACTACGGCAGCTAACACCCAGTCAGCCGGTATGTGAGGACCCATGGGATCAGTTAGTTTATCATCGATGCAGAATTGCAAGCTTGAACCGTTCGAGGTTAAAGCCGAGAATTATCATTCATTTTTCCATCAGCAGAGAATCATCAAGGTATTTCAGGTATTTCAGGGTATGAGCTGCATGTAAGATTGAGTGGCAGGGTACAGCACTAGCTTAATTGTTTAGGTACCTACCTTAGGGAGGTACATAGTAGTTTTAGGGGACCCAAGGGCGATGTGGCAGTGATCAACTTTTGCGTTTTCCCTGTTTAGTTGCAATCCTTCAACATTTCATCTTACATCTCAGTACCCCAATCTCCCCATCCCTTTTATATCAAGATCTTCGTTTATAGGAAATGTAATAGGATATCTTGAAAGCCTCGGCCGAACCTCGCTTTTAGCTACCTAACCTAACAAACAATATCTAGTCTCTAGCATTATACCATGTATCACCGCCATATCTCTCGACCTCGTGAATGAATAGGTGTAGGTGTGCTCGAGGTACCTAACCAAACGTCCAGAACAATTCCTGACTGGGGTAACCGCACTAATAAACATCCGCCTACACACAGCCATTTCCGATTCTCGTCTATTTAAGGCTGAATACGCAACTTGCACTGCACAGTAGACTTCAAAGTTGACTGGCTGGTCTTACATAGCCCCAAGAGAACTCGCAAGACACCGTTATAAGACACTTGCGTCAGGCTGAGCCACTCGATCGATAAAGAATCCCTCTTTTGTTAATACGTAGTTTGAGTCGCACGACCGATTGTTCGGATCTCAGTTCCAGCGCTAGGCATCCATCAATACCGAACTATCACACGTGCCACTAATCTAGAAACTGGAGAATATCCGTTCTATGGATTGTATGTTGTATTACCGTGGCAAAATCCGAACATCGTAAACCTATCCGAGTCCGACCGGTGGGATCCATCGGTTATGCCTAGTATCAGCCACTATAGAGGCAATGAGGTCCAGTCCACGGGCTCGATCAAGGTGACTATTAATACGTTCTTCAAGACATCAACCTCCTTAGTCTTGCAAGTATGTGTATGACGCCTATCGTCACCTATTACTTCTACGTACTATTAGTTATTGTACAAGTAGGTGAGTAGGTGAGTAGGTGAGAAGCTAAGGTTGGCGTTGAGTAATGGCAGCGTTTTCAGTATCCTCCAGATACGGATTTGAACACTACCTTTTGACTTGGATCGTAGACATGCGAAAAAAAAGCATCCGTACCATTAATTAAATTTAATTGTCATTAACTGCGTAGCGCATCTATCAATTTCGGAGCGTGAGCTCGTCTAATCGCTAACTCCCCCAATCCCCAATCCTCAATCCCCTTTCCCCAATCCTCAATCCCCTTTCCCCAATCCTCAATCCCCTTTCCCCAAATTCTTATTCTCTTTCTTTATCGTCTATCAGACGATCGCGTATGCAGACGCGTAGCTCACGCTCGAGTCTGTGACATCTTCCACCAAGCTGCTGCGCTGGTACTGCACGAATTTGAACCGATACTTGTCCGGGTCCGGCTTCTCCTCCGCTAGCGCTTCCAGGGCCGCCATCACCACGCCGATAGGGTGGCGTCCGCAGACGGTATTCTTGGTGCGTCGGAGGTTACCGACAAACTTGTCGTGGTCGCCCGATGCGACGGCGTCCATGGCCAGCTGGTCGACCTGCTTGATGCTCTCGTGTATAGGCGGGTTCGTCGGCTTGGGCGTTCTGCGGCTCAGAGACTGCAGCTCGTCGACCTTTCCCTCCGGCGCGTAGGCCGTGTAGCTGAACCGCGACCCCCAGTGGCAGAAGTCGGAGCTCACGACGAACGCGTTGTCCGGGTCTCGCAGGTACGGCGCCAGCAGCTCGCCGAACGCCTTCTCCTCCGGCCCGTTGTTATCCCCGACGAGTACGGGCACGATGGTAGGGTACTCGGCTTCGGAGGCGAACGTCTGCGTGATCCGCTTGTAGAGAAACGGGAGGTGCATCTCGAGCGAGTGCTCGTCTACGTCTCCTCGGCTGGGGATGTCTTGGAACTTGCCCGTGTCGCACAGCTGCTGGACGACATGCTCGTCGACGGTCAGGTCGCCAAAGGGCGTCTCGTACTTGGCGAACTTGGTAAGGGCGCATCCGCGGAGATAGTACGTGTGCGAAGGCCCCAGGATGAAGACTCGCTTGGCTTTGCTGAGGTCGAGACACTTATACGCCCAGGCTGCGCAGGGTCCTGAGTACGAATAGCCCGCATGCCTTTGGGCAAGCTACAAGTTAGGACATTCCGCAATAACAACGGACGTGTAAAATGAGGTTAGGTAGGTAAGAGAAAAGAAAAGGAAAGAGAGAAAAAACCTACGGTGCGATCACGACTTTGGCACCAGGAATTGGGAGACCACTGTCGTCGATAGAGCTTGGGACATCACCGAGGAAGCTGTCGAGCTGGCTGGATAAGCTATTCGGATTCCCGTCGTACCAGCTATCCGCATGACTCGCCTCCCGGGTTCCCTTGAGCTTCATGTTCACGACGCGAAGTACGGTACCTCCTTTGTAAGTATTGTAAGTAATCCCCGAAGCAGATAGAACTTAGGTACCTTGTATGAAAGAGAACCTTGGTGGACAAAGGGGTCAGTCAGTTAAGAAATCCCTATGTTCATCATACGAAGTAAAAAAAGACCAAGGGAAGATCGGATTGGTCCGGGTAGGAAATGTACCTGTTACCATACCACCTTCCGCTGGTTCTTGTAAACCGTTAATTGACCGTCTATTCACCATTTAAATTTTTTTTCATTAAAAAAATTCCAACTTCTTGAACGTTGAATAACTTTGGCAAGCGTTCAAGAAGATCTCAAATATTTGAAGTGCTTTCAAACGTTTATATTTTTAAATTATTAAAATTTAATGAAGAATTTAATCTTTTAAACGTTCGAATTGACTTCGAACGTTTACGCGTTTACAAAAAAGGGGTACAAAAGCCTACGGGAGAGTCAACGGGAGCCACGGGAGCTAACGGGAAGGGATATAAGGTACGTATACGTACAAACGAGCGTACAAACGCAATTAGAAGCAGTAGGATTCTGAGGCTATTAAAGATTCTACAATGCTACGATGCTACGATGCTACGTGTTGAGGCTACGAGGTTACGGGGCTACGATGACTCCTGGGTCTTAGGTCCTGGCTACAGTGGCTTGGCTGGCTGGCTGGCTAGCTGGCTGGCTGAGGGTTAAAGACTTAGAAGAAAAGAAAGAAGACTCGCTTTCAAAGGAGGGAGGGAGAGGCCTTTATATAGACGATTCCGAAGACAATCAGCCAGGCCTCTTGCCAGGCCTCTTGCCACCTACCTACCTAGGTACGTACGTACGTACGTACGTCGAGACGTATTGGATCAAAGTAACAGGGACAACGGGAAAGAGATAAACGCCTGAACGTTCGAAAGCCTTTCGAACGTTTGAATCATTCAAATGATTTGAAATATTTAATGTATTAATATATTTAAATATTTCAACCCCTTTCAAACGTTTATTAAAAGCGCATCAAACATTAATATTTATTAATATTTATTATTTTGAATATTTATATAAGAGTAACTGTAAAAAGACGGTTTATAATTACGAAACGGTTAACAGGTTCCAGCAGAAGTTGGTACGGTAATCAACAGCAGGCAGTTGAACCTCATACCTTAGGTACCTACCCCGCTGCCCCGCGTTCCCGTCAGTGAAGAGGCCTTAATCGGAATGCTCGACTTAGCGAAACGTCTAGAATGACGTATGATGAGATATGCAAGACTCGAAGGTCTTATTCCTATTTCGTAATGTTATTAATTTGTTAATTGCATATATGAGCTAGGTACTTGCATTGCATGCGATGCCATCTCTGAGCTGCTCAACCACAACGTTCTGTCTCATAACAAAGCCCGGATAGACTAACTAACTAGGTACCTGATAGATATTCTTTCATACGATTAGGTAGATTTATAGTAGAATTATATATATATCGTGGGTCAACTAAGCCAAGAGTACGTAATTTAGTTTGATCATACGAGCAGTTGCTGTTCCGAACTGTCTCCTTACTGCTCTCAAGACCCTTTATCACGCTCATAGAAGTCTAGAGGTCGCAAGTAGCAAGGTGTTCTTTTATGGACTACATCTTAAGATGAGATATGTACTTACTTCTAATCGAAGAGCCTGAATTATGTTCAAGTACCTAAGGTGACGTTGGATTATAAATGTTCCTGGACGCTCGAAATGACAAGAATATAAGTATGGCCACGTTGACGATTTTCACAGCGAGCAAAGCATATAGATAAAGACAATCTAGACCACTATAATAGTTTTATTATTTATGATTTTTCTTTTCCATTGCTGAACTCTTGAAGGAATCCCAAAGACCAAATGATAAGAGCTACGAACCTATGTCTGGCGACAATGTCGTCTGCTTTTGCGACGCCTGCAAAGTGTGCTTTAACCCCATACTCAAACCCATAGCCTAGCGGTAAGATGCTTGCCCAAACTCCAACGCTTCTGTACGTACCTAGCCGAGGGCATAACCCGAAGCTCACATGCAGCCAGAATGAAACAAACCATTCCTCAGCACACCTTGATGCCCGAGACACCTGTCCACCCCAAGCCGCCAACCCATACTTTCCTCCCGGCACATATCAGGCACTTCCGCTGCTCGCCGAGGTTGGTGATGGAGCAGTGCGAGCAGACGTGCTTGCCGCAGCCCGCGCAGCCCGCGTCGACGTCCGAGCCGAAGCCGTCCAGGTCCATCGAGTCCTCGCCCGCGCCCTCCCGGAGCGTCTCGCCGCAGTCGTCGCAATTGGTCGGGCTGTCGTACACCAGACGATCCACGGGCGGCGGGACCGAGGTATTTGATGTAGGCGCCACGTGGGGGAGTTTCCATAAGTCGTGCAGCGACGCTTGAGCTCCCTGTGAGGGCATCTGCGCGGGGTGAGGCTGGCGATGTGTAGGGAGGCTGGCGAACGGGTGGGTTTGCTGGTGGGAGAAGTGCTGCTTCTGGGCTGTGTATAACATGTTTAAAGTTCGCTCTGGGGGGAGTTTGGGATTAGAAAGATGTCCGGGCGTAAAGCGTGTCATGTCAATGTAGTTTCTCGAAAGACTTACCGTGGATTTCTTCATCCGAGGGACGGCTGTTGCGAAACCGCTTCATGGTGCGGCTGTGTAGGTGGGAAGGAGTTGAGCTCCGCGACGTCTGGCGGATAGGCGAGACGTTGGCGATGCTGTCCATTTCCATCATGGACAATTGCTCTGGCCGGGACGGCGAGCCGAAGGCGCTCGAGGAGCTGGAGAGCTCGGACTCGGAACGCTTGCGCTTGAGCTGCATCGTGAGGGGTTGTGGGATTGTTGAATCCTACGGGAGGTGGACTGATTGATATCCTCAGGAGGTAGGTATGAATTGTGGATATTTATATGCAGTGGAGTATTTGGTTTGATGTAGTTAGAAAGTTAAGAGTACCTAAGATTTCTAGAAATTGAAAGTTATAAAGTTGATGCTATGAGATGAGGTAAGGTAAGGTGAGGCGAGGCGAGGTAAAATAAGATGGGAAAGATTCAATTGGCGAATTGCAAGTTAAGAAGAATATTGCTGAACGTGTAATTTTGTATAACTCGGCTTATGTATTGGCGTGGCGGCTGGAAAACGCGACCTGTCGCGCTGAGGAACACGCGTAACCCACTAAGCTTATAGCGCGACTAGTTCGCGTTAATTGCTTGCCAAGGCTGGAAACTTGCGGGACTCCACAACTTTCAAACTCAACCTTCACGATACCCGTTTGCTTAAGTTGTGTTCCATTTTTTATTAACTACATTTTATTAGTACCTATATCGTAGACTGACTGCATTTTACATGATTTGTTATTTATTAATAAACTATTGCGGTAGGTTTGCTGGGACAGACAGGGTTCGTCTTGTACCAACTCTGGAATATTAAATCGAGACAGGTCTTCTTTCAATTAAAAGGAGAAAAGTCTCTTCATAATGTGTCATTACTAAAATTTGCCTGACTGCATAAGTCATGTCTCTATATCCTCATGTATATCTTTGAATAGTTATTGTAAACTCCTGATGGCCTTTCCTAAATCTACACCATCGATTATCCCGGTTTCGTCAAATTACAGCAGGGCAGCTCCGAAGAGGACGGCAACACCTGCGACAGCCATGCTTAGCAGCGACGACGATAGCTCGATGGTGCTCGGTGCAGCGTTGGTATCGGGACCAGCACTGGCACTAGCACTTGCGGTCTCCGTGGCTGCCGACGCGGCGCTAGAGGCGGCTGAGGCGGCCGAGTGCGCGCTTTCGACAGCAGATGATGCAGCTGCTTGAGCGGTGCCAGTGGCGGTAGAGGCAACGCTCTCGGCGCTTTTGACGGCATCGCTGGCAGACGATAGTGCGGCGTCGGCGGCAGTTGAGGCTAAGCTCTCAGCGCTGTTGACGACCGACGTAGCAAAGCTCTCCGCGCTGTTTGCGATCGATGAGCCGAGGCTTTGAGCACTGTTGGCGATGCTAGAGCCGAGACCTTCGGCGCTGCTGGCGACCCCCTGGCCGAAGCTCTCGGCAGAGCTGGCGATGCTGTTTCCGACAGAAGCCCACGAGTTGCCGAGCGACTCCCCCGCGCTGCCCCACGAGTTTGCAAGGCTTTCGGCCGAGCTAACTACCGATTGCCAATCCTGGCGCTTGCCGAAGTTGCCTGCGATGCTGTTGGCTATGGCGACGACTTCGCTGGCAGCCTTCTCCGCCGCAGCCTGCGCATCCTTCCAGGCTTGGCGAGGCTCGACAGCATTACCATCCCGTTTTCCGTATTGGGCGGCTATGCTGCTGGCTAACGCGGCCGCCGCGCTCGCAGCAGCTTCGGCCTCGGACACGGCAACTTCCCAAGCCTGGCGCTCCTCGATCTCACGCTTTCCATACTGCTGGGCGATGCTGCTCGCCGCAGCTTGGGCTGAGCTGGCTGCGGCTAGAGCGGAGCTCTCGGCTGCTCGCCACTCTGCTCCACTTCCTCCGTATTGTTGCGCGATAGAGCTGGCGCGTGCTTGCGCCGCGCTGGCCTCGGCGAGTGCCGACGAGAGGCTGTCTTGCCACGACTGCCGTCCCTTCAAGACCGGGGCAGGCGTGATCATAGCATCTCGAGGTGCCTGTTCCACGACGTTGGCTGCGGCGAGGGTGGCCGCGAAAAGGGAGACGGTGAAACGCATTTTGACTTGTGAGTTGTGAGGTGAAGGGATCTTTCAATATTGACGGTATGTAATTGCGAGAGCTCTGCCTAGTACATGTGAGGGAAGCAAACTAGGTAGGGGTCAGCTCGGCGTGAATATCCTTTATACAAGTAGGGCTCGAACTCAAAGGGATATTATCGAAAGGTAGGTTGGTGCTTAGCACTAACAACTGCGCCTCCCATCTCTATGTCTGGGTCTACCAATAGCGTCTTAGGCTTGTCTTACCCCATCAAAATCATCTTGTTTCCGTCTGATTAGTTCACTTACCAGTTGATTTCGTCATTGAATCATGTTCGTATCTATGTGGATCGCTCGAAACGTATAACATCGATGATCCCTACTCTGTTGAATGGACCTGTCTGCTCGGATGAATACATATCTACCTCAGGTACTTTAGGTACCTACCTAGTAGAGACCGTCTTAAACGGAATAACAACGTCGAGCAGTTTTAGCCATCTTAGGGCCGTACGTAGTGGCAGAGTGGCCGGAGTGGGTAGACCGTACTATGTAGAGCATGTCTACGACATACTGGACAATAGCAGCCCTGCCAAGGCAGGTAACAAGTCAGTTCTGCCGAGTTGCGGAACCATGACGACGCACTTTGGTTGGGCGCAGGTGTCTAGGGCCTTTACTAGGAAGACTAAGAAGCCGAAGGTCCCGATTTGCTGGTTCGCCAGCCACCATAGAGCCTCATGGACACTTTTGGATACATGTTGTGTATTGGTATTGGGGCAAAAGCTGCCCTTTCGCTCGGAAGAACCGGGTACATCAAGAGTCGCGAATTAAACGCTGGTGGCTCTCAGCGATCTCCCGAGACATTCCGTATTAGTACAATGCGTACCTCTCTTTTCGTTGTCAATACTATGTAGACAGAATTGAGAGTGAACCCGTCGGAAAATTACAAACACGCAAGGGAGCTTTTGGGCTGTGTTTTCAAAATCCGAATCTGGAGGCCGCTCACGAGCACCGGACTGATCTGGACGAATCTCGCCATCATCGTGGCTGTTTGCGTAGCAACCACGCGACGTAGAGCTGATGGTGTTGTGTTCCCTCAGACTAGTCGATGTCCTTCTTGATTGGATCAGTTCCACGCCTCCGGATCGACTTGCGCCGCATCTGGAACCGAGCCACAGACAGCTTTCGTGTGGGTGGCGGAAAGATCTGACGATGTGGACGATGATAACTAATACCTAGGTATACATACCACACACACATTTACACGGCTTATTCATTACCTGCGGCACGTCAGTCTTTAGCACCTTGCCGATCGTAACGATCGCCTTAACGGTAGTTGAGATCTGTACCCCCACAGACCTGCTTATGTACGTACGTGATGCCCGAAAGCTGCAGAACAGGTATGCCGCGGTGGGTTTCATCGGATGCTGCCCCCATTTACGACTTCTGCTAGGTACATCTTCACCTTGGGGTAAACAATTCAGGTTTCACTGGAATATCTGCCTTACCTATAGGACGTACTACCAGCCTTAAGGCTGGGGTTTATATTCAGATATAGTACATTCATACCTATCGATGAGGCATAACAACCATTCATTAACGCCTCAGGTTGTGATACTTGCTGTAAAACATTTACTACAAACAGCGTTGCACGACCTCGCCTTCAAGGTTAGGCGATGTTCTAGGCAAGGCAGGCAAGGGTTTGTATTGTACCTATTTACAGCACCCCCCACTGAGAGAAGGTCATTGTCGAATTAGCCACCCGATGCTGGGGACCTGGGAAGCTGGGAACGGCAAACCTTTCCGCCTGGCGTAGTGTAACATGATCACGACATCGGGGAGAAGGGCGCATAAACAAGGGACAAAGCAGTAGAAGTACAGACGACAAAGGAGAAATGTTAGGTTAGCTTGGATGGCTTCTTTTCTTTTCTTTTATTTTTTATTTATCTTTTAATTTTTTATATAATTAATACTCTACCTAATGTCACGTTACAAGAAGAGAGTTCATGCAAGCCACTTCTTCGTCCCGCCGTGTCCAAACCAACTTTTCTCTCCTCGTATTTACTTCGACGTGGTTGTATAACAGAACGCCGCTGCCTTACAGGTACCTCCTACACCAAGGCTGTTACAGAAAACAAGTTTGTGACGCCATGACCTTGACTTAACTTATGCGTTTGTTCGGTTGGTTTCCTATATTTCTACAGTATATTCTATATTAGGCCTCAAAGTACCCTTACCTAGCAGCAATGTACTGGTGATATAGACTATGCTCCTTGCATACCTACCTTACCTTAGGTACCTACCTACCCAAACCTACTATACCACCCCCAACCTACCTAAAGTAGATATCTGATACCCTCCAAGGCGTCCAAACACCTATACCTACCTACCTAACCTACCTAGGTAGTCTTCTCCAGCGGTTGAATCCGAGACACCTTTTCTCGGGGGCGGCGAAAGGGGCGCGGGTCATGCGTACAGCCGGGCCCCGTGGCGGCGGCTTTCGCGTTTACACGCTGGCCATTCGCTGCGCAGAACTTGGAATATGGCGTTTACGATGACGTTACTAAACCAAGAATCGTTGCCCTTCGGTGCTCTCTTCGAAATGACACCCCCTTTCTGCGTGCTGTTACGGCCGGTGGGTATTCTCGGCTCCGGGGCTTTTCTTCTTCTGCCTTGATAGAGCTTACTTACTAGTGTGGTGGCGGTGATGGCGATGATGATGATGGTGTAGCGTGGAAAGATAAGAGGTAACTAAGTTAAGCTGGCTGGCTGGCTGAAGAGCTGAAGAGCTCGACCGATTATCCCGATGGAACTAACAGCCTTACCTATGCGTAATCGAGCTGGACTTGCTAGTCTGGTTGCACGGCTCTAGCTAGCGGATAGTGAATTTTGTGGATGGTAACTTTGTTGGTACCTAACCTATCCGTGGCTGTAGTTACTTATGGGCTGGGCTGGGTTGGGTAGGATCAGGAGATCTACATACACGTGCGGCGTAATGCTCCGGCTCACCCACGTGGGGAGTGGGTGCCGCAGCTGGATACGTCTGATAGGGGCTATCTAGTCTGGTTGAGCTGCCCGGTGAAGTTGATCTATTATGGGGATAAACGCGGTATATTGCTGCGTACCTAGTCATGGCGAGATAAATTGGAGACAGGTTTTATAGAATTATATACCAGGCAGGTAGTTACTATAGCTGGAGCCTAAGCTAAAATGGCTATGAGAAGAGCTGCCTACGAATGTTGGTACAACTGAGGAAAAGGGGTAAAGTTCTCTTAGAGTCGAGCATACATGCAAGAGTGTGAATAAACAACGAAGCTTTAAGCACCAGCAAGGACTGTATTTTCTAGCCTATCGCGTATTCGAGTAGTCCTGGTTCCGTTCGTAGATATTACAAAATTTATTAACCATTACATAGAGCATTACATAGAACATTACATAGAACATCACATAAAACTACACCAGCAGACCATCTCACGCCCTGGCAGCCTTCGCCTCGTGCAGCCGCACTTGCACACCAGTTCCGGACCGGTTTTCAATAGCATGATGAAGCCGGATCCTACCGTCGCCCTCCTCCACGTTCTCGATCCGGTCGTACTTCTGGCAGAACCGGGACACCACGTAGCTTACCTCCTGGCGACCAAATTGCTCTGCAGATGTCAGTTTAGCTACGATTTTTATTCTTTTCCAGTATAATAACTGTAGATTCAACAACGGGATGGGGATTACGGCTGAAATAAAACAAATAGAGTAATAAATGGGCAGTGTGTAGGTGGGTGTAGATAGATAGGAGAGAAAGACTTACGACCAAGACACTTCCGCGCTCCGGCTCCAAACGGAATGAACTCCCACCCGGCCCGATGCGTCTCCCACCTCTCGGGGCGGAACTCCTCGACGTCCGGGCCCCAGATATCCGCGCGGTGCTGCATGGCGTACAGCGGGACGAGCACCTGGGTGCCCTCGGGGACGAACACGCGGGCTTTCCCGTCGGGCCCCCCGCCCCGGGGGAGCACCGTGTCCCGCAGCGCGATGCGCTCGTTCAGCGGGATCACCGTCGCCACCCGCAGCGTCTCGTTGATCACCCACTGCAGGTACGCCAGCTGGCTCAGCCGCCGGAAGTCCGCGGGCCCCTCCCCGAACTGGTTCACCACCTCCCGCCGCAGCCGCGCGTACGCGTCCGGGTGCCGCGCTAGGAAGTACACCACCCACCCCAGCAGGCACCCCGTCGTGTCCCGCCCCGCGATCAGCACGTGCAGCGTCTCGTTGCGCAGCTCCCGCGGGTTCTGCGTCTCCTTGGCCAGCTCGTCGAGCAGGTTGAAGCGCGCGGTGGCGGCCCCCTTCCCCTTTTCGAGGTCGGCTGCCGTCTTCTTCTTCTTTTCCTTCTCAGGCGGATGTGCGAGCCGGTCGGCGACGAGGCCGTCGGCGAACTTGTGGATCGCCGCGCAGTGCTCCTTGAACTCGGTGCTGTTCATGAGCCAGTAGAACTTGGCCAGGGCGCCGCGCTTGTCGATCCACACCTTGGCCGCGTTGAAGTGGCGGCTGAGGTCCTCCCGGGCGCCGTCGCGCTCCAGCAGCGAGTTGGCCGAGCGGCCGAAGATGAACTCGGTCGCGGTGTCGAGCGTGAACTTGAAGAAGAGCGGCGCGAGGTCGACCCTGGACGTCCACCCCGTGGCGGCGTCGGCGCTCAGCTGCCCCCACAGGTTCTGCAGGTGGTGCTCCTCGAGCTGCGGGTTGCTGATCATCTCGCGGGCGAACTGGGGCCGCAGGAGCGCGCGGCTGTGCTTCCAGACGTCGCCGCGGCTCGTGAAGATGCCCTTGCCCAGGAGCGGCATCCAGCTCAGCTGGCGGTGGTGGCTGATATCGAAGTCGGGGCTGGTGAAGAGCGCGCGGGCGTTCTCGGGGTCGCGGGTCACGACGACCTCGTAGTCGACGATGGGCACCTTGACGGTGTGGCAGTCCCGGGAGATGCCGTCCAGCTTCTCGGCGATGTACTGCGGCCCGCGGTCCTCCTTGGTGGCCCGCATGGACTCTCGCAGGATCGAGTTGCCGATCAGGTTCGTGCTGCGCAGCACCGGCGGCGGCAAGCACCCGAGCGCCGCGGCCTTTGCATTGTTGCGGCGCTTCTTTAGCTTGGACTTGACGATTGCCCAAGTTAAGAAGACGGCCAGCAGGAGAAAGGCACTGCTGGTGACCCCCAGCATCTTGACCACGTTCGGAAGAGAGAAAAAAAAAAAAAAGAAAAAAAGGGGAAGGAGTTATTCAAACTCCGGTGATATCCTCCGGCAATATTGATGCTGTAATGATGTAAGGTACCTACCTAGGTAGGTAGGTAGATAGGTAGGGGTATAAAAGAGCAAACAGTTATCCTAGGATAATAACGATTAAAATATCTTTCCCTCACTGCGTCACGCTGCAGCAAATTACTTTCCTCCACACAAATTCCGTGCCAGAGCTTAGCAACAACAGACGACCTCTATTACCGGTGACCAGGACCAGGTAAACACTAATAAAATCCTGGGGTTCTATCCATAACGATCCTACCCGCGTCGCGGAAGCTTACTAGGTATTTACTTATTTCCGTCCCATCCCTTGCGTACGGCCTTACATCTCGTACATACCTGGTCGCTAGGTACTATTCCGGTCTCTCGGTATCATTGTCTAAGAATACCCATCGGGTAGGACAGGTTTAAAAACAGAGATCACAGGTGTACCTGTACCTATACCTATGCCCAAACAAGCAGAACAAGGGCCCTTTTCATGTGCTCCAAGTCCATGACGCGACTCGCAACAACAAGTCCACTGCGCTGCACATATGTACCTAGGTAGGTATGCAAGCGCTGACAATGGCCAAGTCTCTGATGAATGCCTCGATAGATTAAGTACGCCCGTCCCAAAACCATTGACGTGATGACTGTCATTGATACTCGCCCATTGGTCGGGCCTCTCACCGGTGGCGCTTCGTATAGGGGTCTCTGCACGAGAGGCATACCAGCAATTTAAAAAGGTGTTGAAGTATTGAAAGTATTGAGTACTTCTGTCAGTTTTGACTCTTGCAGCTCTTGACCCCCAAATCAGCTGGCCAGGGGGAAAGACGGGGGAGAGGGAAGAAGGGAACTCGGGCCTCCGCAGTGGGGGAGAAAGTGAGAAGTGACTGGGGGGAGAACCCGGGAAGCAAGGGCATCCCTGCAAGCAAAGTTGCCTATTTAGGAAGTGCTGAATCGGGCATTGGTTCAGCTGTACGGACTAGACGCGGGCGGGCTGGGCGACGGCGTTTGCCTTGATAACTTAAAAAAGAAAACGAGAAGCAACTTAACTTGCATACATACCTCCTTGCTCCTGTAATATACATCAGTTAGTTGTTATTTTTGATTAATTGGACCAGGCTAGGAGCAAGCTATGACGATCGACGCAAATAGATAATACGGGCTATTGTAATTTTGTATAACTTCTTGCGTATCCGCACGACTTATAATAGGCAGGAGAATGTCGATCACTTGGATACGAATTTCTGCCGTTTTTTTCTAATTCTCATCAAGCCATCAAGCCACCAAGCAAATCAGCCAGAAAAATCCTCGAAAGCTGAGAGATCCTCTGTGATTCTCTGAGATCTTCTGTAGAACCACATCTTTTTTTCCCCCAACTTCTCAAAAAACAAATTTTTGTATCTTTTTTTTATTGTGGTGCCGAGTAGATCCATAGTTGAAACTAAGGGCTTTAGTTTACTATACAGGGTTCACACAATATGCACGCCTTCACCTACTTCGTTCTCTCTCTCGTCGCCGTAGCCCACGGCCTGCCGGCTTTCTTAGCCGAGCACAAGCGGGATGATATCCTCAAACTCGATCCTACGATCGATCTCGGGCTCGACGTTAACAACAAAAATTCCTGCTTCGGGTTGGGTATCTCCGTCTGCGATCCTATCACCGTAGACTCGCAGAAGAGCTCTACCGTTGTAAAGAAAAACAACAACAATAACAACAACAACCGCAGAGACAACCGCAAAGACAACGACAATAACGACATCGACAACAACAACAGCAACAAGATGAGGGGTAGTGACACCGAAATCAACTTCAATCCCGATATCGACCTAGACCTCCACGACTTCAACCTAGAAGGCGATAATAGCTGCTTCGGCATCGGCCTCAGCGTCTGTGATTCTATCGCGGACGACTCGGACATCGACGAGTCGACTGGGGAGAGTGACAGCAAGGCCAAGGCCAAGGCCAACCCGCCGTCTTCTTCTTCTTCTACGCCTACTCCTACTCCTTCACCCGCGAAAGCACCTGCAACTTATTCTGTCCAGGCTAGTCCCGCCAGCAGCAGTCCCAGCAGCAGCCCTACTACGAGTCCTAGCAGCAGCAGCGGCGGCAACAGCTTGATCGACGTCAGCCCAGTCATCAAGCCCCACCTCAACCTAACCAACGCCAACAGCTGCCAGGGCGTCGGCATTTCAGCCTGCGACCCCATCACGGTAGATTCCATCGTCAAGAGCCTAAGCTCGTAAATTCGTTACCTACCTATTCTTTTCTTCCTTTTTTTTTGTTTATTTTTAGGTACATTATGTTGTTTATTTACCTATGGGAGGGAAATATGTATTTTGAAAGCCGTTTTTTTTTGGTTACTACCTCACCTCACCTTACCTACCTACCTACTTACTAGGTACCTGATATCCTGTCTCGGATATACATTTGTTTACATTCCTTGTACGTAGTTAGTTAGCATGAGCAGTCCGATACACGCGATTAATACGCATCATTATTACTCGCTACTTGTCTGTTGACGGTTTTCGTGACAATGCATGATAAATATGCGATCGCCCGGTGCTATTAGACACCGCATATGTATACCTACATCATCATTCCACTTTACGGGAAATATAACGTGGTATGGCTTAGGTACCTGGTAGCTTTGGGGGGAAGTGTGTAGATTAATTACTTGGGTACGCACGGCATAGTAAGACTTCAAGGTAATTTGGGGATCTGACAGGCGCGAAATTGCGTCGGAGTTAGGTGATGTGATCAAGCTCACGTCTTTGCTGCACGGCACAATCACGGAATGGACTGCTGGCTTATCCGCCTGGTGAACGTAGAGGTTACCTCCTTTACCTCTGTGCTTACCTCACATACATGTAGGTAGCTGCCTTAGCTGGCTTAGTTGAGGAACCCGGTTGAAGCGTCAGATAGATATACGACTGTTTCTAAATCTTAGGTATTGTGAGTGTGCCACTCATGAGCCACGGACGTGGCTCCTTCTGCTCTTCTTCAGTGTTGAGTGATTGTAAAAAAAAAAAAAATAATAATCTTTTCTTTTACATAGACAATACACACACACTTGTCAGGTATTCCTAGAAATATCGAACAAGTCACAGGGCAAAACATGAAAACAGGTAATTAACTCTCAACAAGGCTTTATTAGAATTCATATGCACACCTCGTAAGTGACTAGCCAGGCCAATTTGACCAACTCAATTTACATGTCACATAGACCCTTGAACTTGAACAGGAACAGGAAAATGGTAGATACGCCTTAACAACTAATAAGGCTACTCCTTATTTCCGTGTTCAACTTCCCAACTATCTCCATATATACGGTATGATTGATTACGAATTAATGGTTCCAACGAAAGTAAAGCTAGGGTATGATACGTGCATTCTAGATGGCGGTAATCTTGACGGTGACGCCCTCCTTCGGCCGCAGCACTAACCGCCACATCTTCCACTCCTCGGGGTCGGGAGAGTCGAAGTCACGCTTGAATTCGTACATGCTGAGCAAGGAGCACAGCAGAATCTTCATTTCGATCTCGGCGAACTTGCGGCCGATGCAACCGCGCGGGCCTTGAAGGAAAGTCATGAAAGCGTTGGCAGTAAACGTCTTGGGTAGATTGTCCCACCGATCCGGGTCGAATTCATCGGCGTTAGGACCCCAGTACATCGGTAGTCGGTTGATGGCGTTGGCTAAGACGTAAATAACGCTACCAGCAGGGACCTTGTAGGGGCCAAGCTGATCATCTGCGATGGACTGTCGCACTGTCATGGGAATAGGCGGGATGTAGCGTAGAGATTCGCGGCAGATGTTGTCAAGATAAGGTAGCCTGTCGGGATCCGCGTTGGCGATTGCCTCCGCGTCAAAGCGAGATTCCTTGTCGAACAGGAAGGGCATGTAATCCTTGATCTCCTCGCGGAGACGAGACTGGATCTCAGGGTGGGTGGATAGCAAGTGAACAGTCCAAGCTACACCAGTTGCGGTAGTGTCGTGACCGGCACCCAAGAAAGTCATGATCTGGTCGCGCATGATCTCGAAAGAGAGGCCAGCTTCGCCCATAGCCTTCATCTTCTTGTTATCCCGAGCGATAAGAGCAATGATATCCTTACCACCGGTGTTGTTTTCGGCTTGTTCTTGCTTCTCGGTGATAATCTCGGTTGCCTTGTCTAGGATGATGCTTCGAGAGGTCTGCATATCTCGGTTCATTTTAGACGGGATGTGCTTGGAAGCAGGAATGAAAGCTTGAATTCCGTGCATGATGCGAGATGGGAGGTCAAAGGCAAAGACGAGGCGGTAGGCCTCCCGAATAGGAGTCTCAGGATGTCGTAGGGAGTCGATATCGTATCCAAAGCCAGCGCTGCCGATGATATCTAATGTAGTCCTGTTGAGCCACTCGAGCACTTCGAACGACTTAGTAGTAACTCCCTCGGCGGTCATCTCCTCGCGCCAGCACTTAGCTAGGAGGAGCGATTTCTCCCAAAAGACTGGTGCGAGTGCGCGGATGGACTGGATCGAGAAACCGGGAGCGAGGGACTTGCGCTGGTGCGCGTGCTCCTGACCCTCGGCGAGCAGGACGCCTTCACCCAAGATTCGAACCATCCAAAGCTTGGCACGAACAGGCTTGGGGTAGTTGTAAGGGTTCTTGACAGTCATCTGCTTCAAGGCCTCGTCGTCGGCAACGGAAAGACGCTCGGCCCCGAAGGGGAAGAAGTATCGAATGATAGGACCATGCTTCTGATGCCAGTCTCGTTGAGGCACACCGCATTCTTGCGTAATGATGCCAAAGAACTGACCCCAAAGAGGGAATCCTGGTACGGTAGGGACATTTCTCAGTTCAGACACATAGAAGGGATATATCCAGCTAAGCCAGACAACGACATAGAGGGGAATCACAACAGCCAAAGACTTTGCGACGGTGGAGCTAATGGGTAGTTCGGCGTGGCGAGCGTATAAGAACGAGGCGGCCGCCGTCACCGCCAGGACTGGCGTCAAGGTGACTTTGGACATGATGAAAGATGCGAGAAGGGTAAGGTATCTAGGCCAGAAGTAAGGTCTAAAGGCTCTGAGGCCGAGACTGAGGAGGGGAGAGGGGTATATGAGAGCGAACCCTGATTCAAGAACGCGGACGGGTAGCCCGGGGTCAACACGATCGACAAGAGCGCTATTATATAAATAAACGAATGGGGGCATACGGAAATATGCGATGACGGCATGGTGGAAGAAGGCGTGTAAGACAGGGTCTAGGGGGGGGGGGGGGGGGGGGGGGGGCCCCATTTTTGTGAGTTATACATTTAGGGGTATGGGGGACGGACATTTTGTAAAAAATTAAAAGAAGGTGAGCTGGGTGGTACCAATAATAAGGTAACA